AACACCATGACATAGGCAGATATACACTACAACACCATCACATAGACATATTCACCACAACACCATCACATAGACATATTCACCACAACACCATCACATAGACATATTCACCACAACACCATCACATAGACATATTCACCACAACACCATCACATAGACATATTCACCACAACACCATCACATAGACATATTCACCACAACACCATCACCCTCGAAACTATCGCCTCAAGATATATTACCAACACCATTACATTAAAAATGTAGCTTAGCTGTTTCTCGGTTCTGTCTATGATGCCCTAACCCCCCTCCCCCACCATTTAAAAAACCGCAATCTTTCATTATTAGGCAATCAGGAAAACGCACCCCAACGCAACACCACTGCAGAAAGTAGCCTATATATAATTAAACCATTCTTTACTTTCGAATGCGTAGTAACATATTTCGTTGGCCTTGTTGTAGATGGTGTAAGCGTTCTCTGTTTCAAAGCCAAAGACAACTGTGGAAATATAAAAATGTTTAACAATGATACTGTGGGTATAAAATTTAGAAATTTATTCTTTGTTTTATTTATTTTCTTTGTTAAAAGAGGACTTTAAAAACTAGAATGTTCGGTACTTTCTGTGTAGTTGGGTACAAGTAGAGCTTTTTAAAACCCACACACCTCATCGGCGAGGTGAACTCTTCTTCACCTTTCATATAATCTCAAAATTTTTCTTGATCCCCATCACTTTAATTTTTTTTTAAAAACTTTCTTGTAAATTTAGGCTAGATAGCAGCCAATTTCATCTTACAACAAGGACCGTCCTTGCAAGGAGTTACAATAATAAATGACTCCACTTTCAAATAACTCTATAGTTCTTAAAACAGAGTCAGCTCTTTAACAGTGTTACTATAAATAAACGGTCACGTGCCGAGCCAGTACTCACCCTCCAACAACTCGACCTCTTGTTTGACGATGACCTCGTCTAGCAGGGTCAGGTACTCCAGTCCCGGGGGACAGGACGGTAGGGGCGCCACTGTCGGCATCCAATTTTTGTGCACTGTAAGATAGACCGCATGTAGTGCAGACCACAGCTTTTAAGACATTCCACAGTTTTTAAGACATACCACAACATGTAAGATAGATAACAATATGTAAGGTAAATCACAGTATGTAAGGTACATACAAATATGTAAGGTAGATAACAACATGTAAGATAGATAACAACATGTAAGATAGACCAAATTTAATTTTGTTAGACCACAACATGTAAGAAAAGACGGACAACGTCACAGATGTATAAGAGCATTGAACTGATCGACAGGGCATTACAATAACGATATGCCTTTACAACAGGGTATTGAACACATATCCACGACAGCGCTTAAATGTGACTCCAAGCCCTTCAACAGGGCACTGAGCTGTCCACTGTATCACGACATTTCACAAGAAACTGCCCAACTTTTCACCCTACTGTTAATGTTATCTCTCTGGCTTAAGAACAACGATTGAATCAGTTACGTCCATATAGGATCAGCACTGGTGTTTCTAGGCTAAAACGGTTAGACTCCAAGATCAGGTAGGAGAGCACTCCATTTCTCCATTAACGGTTAGCCTCCATTTCTCTATGAACACGATCGTGTCCTTCTGACGCGCGTTGGTTTTGTTCATAAAGACAAAGATAAATGTCGCATAAATAAACAATGCACTTGGTATCTCTTGGTATCTTAGAACTAGACTAATGAGTTGGGGGTTGGTCGTGTGTGTTGGGGGGGGGGGGGGGGGGAGGTGTCGACAAACGCCGACATGCAATTAGTACCGATATTGTTGGTGTGGGGGTGGGGGGTCGGCAAATGCGTACATGTAATTAGTGCCAATGAAGGTTGGTGTGTGTGAGGGAGGTGTGTAGGGGAGGGGGGTGGGGTAGAGTAAGGCGTACATGTAGAGAGTGCTGATGAGGGTTTGAGATGCTCAGACCCTGGCTGCTCCACAACTGCTTGTGTCGGAGACTCTTTAACATGGTCTACGTTTGAAGACTTCTCGGACTCTTCCGGTTTCCGGGGCTGGTCAGGTTTCCGAGACTGGTCAGATTTCCGGGGCTGTTCAGGTTTCCGGGGCTGTTCAGGTTTCCGGGGCTGTTCAGGTTTCCGGGGCTGGTCAGATTTCCGGATGTGGTCGGATTTTTCGGCCATTTACTAAAAACAAGTTGAAATATTCCGTTTTAAATAGTTACCTAGTCAAGTGAGACCGGGGAAGGCGGGACTTTCTTGTTTTTTTATAAAACTACTTCAAATAAAAGGGGGAAAATGCATGTAGTTATACACAACATTAACATACTGTGATCTCACATACATATACCGTGGTAAGATACACACATTATTTATTCCATATAAACTTGTAAGTATGTGTATATATTTTTTTCTGGATGTATTTAATTTTTGTACCCTTCACCCCATACACGGATTAACACATAAGTTATTACGATTCTCAACTAAACCGTTTTCCTCAGGCATATTTTGCAACGTTAATCTAAGTTAATGTTACTTCCCCCCCCCCCCTCCACGGTTATTGCTTTAAACTTGGATCAGATAATACTAACGATTTTTGTCTATAGTCGGTTATAAATACAGCTGGATGTAGCATGTTTTCTTTATCATTAGCAGGTTTACGTCATGGTGTCACCCCCCCCCCCCTCCACCCGTGTCGGGATTTGTCCACTTTGCTCTTAGAAGACTCACTCTAATTAATCATTTAATTAAGTGGAATTATCAATTTTCTGTATATATTTTGCTGCTTTTTGCCTGGGTGCCACCCCCCTAAATGGTGTCACCCGGTGCGATCCGCACCCCCCGCCCCTCCCTCGCGACGCCTCTGATATATATATATATATATATATATATATATATATATATATATATATATATATATATATATATATATATATATATATATCGCAGGTGTGTTGAATACCTGTGAGGTTAGCTGTGGACATGACTCCATATAGCATGGCATTATTTAGTTCCGACCGGGAATAAGATGACTCTAAACTTTCCAGTCTTGACTTACGTAGAAAACTAATCGTATACATGACATGAACTCTTATCCATATCTCTTGTATTGGTGATAATCTCACCTCAGAACAATTTTTATCGTAGCCCTTAGCCTGAAACAAATTATGAAATATGTTCGTAGCTCAAATCTTCCCCTAAATTAAAACGCAGACTAATTCAATATACGGCAATGTGAGTTGAGCTAATTAATCAGCCATATAACTTAAACATTTTATCTTTCTTATATGAAATTTAAACCTAACCCTTTAGTAAGCTTAGTTTCCGTGCAGCCTGATCCTCTCGGAACCCGTAAAGCCACCCTGGCTAATACGGGTGAAAAGAGGCCAGGAACTAAAAGGGGTCTCCAAGGCCCTCCGGCAGACATTTTGACCTGAAGCTGCGGCCTCCACGTGGCCACGGAAGGGTGCCCTACCCGGGTAGCTAACGGCAGCTAGGGATTTTTAGTCTGTGCATCCGTGCCGGCCGGCGTCCCCTGGCCGACACTTGGATGCCAGTCCGGAGAGCCTGGTACGTCTGACTCCCAAGACCCCCACATGGTGGAGCCGGGAGATTTGCCCGCATTGGACGGGTGAATCTCCGTTGCTGGCTCCAAATAGCGTGAGGGTGGAGAGATGCAAGACTGCCGGGAACCAAAAAGGGTCTGTTCGCGATCCCCAACCAGACGGTTTGACTTTAAGCTGCGGCCTTCACACGGCTTCGGACGAACTCCACTAGTCGGACCAAACCCATGACCCCCCCTAGTGAGTGCGGGATGGCTGGTGGTAGTGAACAGCAGCTAGAGGGTTTTCGATCTGGTCGAGTGGAACTGCTGTATGCGTTTGGCTCTTTCCGAAGAGCCTGGTACGTCGGTCTCCCAAGTCCCCTACATAATAGCGTGGGGGAGGAGAGGTGCAAGACTACCGGGAACCAAAAGAGCCCGCCGCCAGATCTCTCTTTTGACTTTAAGCGGCGGCCTTAACGAGGCTTCGGAATAATGCCACTGGTCCCACCAAACCCATGTTAAGTGGATGCGGAATGGCTGGTGGCAGATAACAGCAGCTAGAGGGTTTTGATCTGACGGAATGCCCCCCACGATCAAGCTGGGTACCAGGCGGTAGGACGACGTCCCGCGTCTGGTGGGTGGGAAGGAAAGCCCGGTGAGAACCGACGGAAGTAGCGACCGATGTGTGGGAAACACTGATGATCGGGGTTTGCCACACTGAGGCCTGCCTGGCTAATGGAAGTGAACCTTCTGAGCCGGTTTCCGTATAAGGAAGGAAGTAAGCTTAGTATTAAAAATATGGGGACAATCTCAAATGGTAAGATCTAACTTTACCTATTACTAGATCTACATTACTAGAAAGATAAGAACACCACTGCGCCCGTTCTGCAAAAATTAAAACTATTTTTCTAAATCCATTAAGTTCCTTATAAATCGCTTATAACAAAACTTACCTCTGATGAAAACTATACATATTTACAGTCCATTTAAATTGAAATTGTTTTGGTTTGATTGCTGGCTAAATGGAATTAAATTATTGTGCGGTATGCCTAGAATTGATGCAAAAAGGTGCGCTTTACTCAATACACAGCACCATAAGCTAAAGAGGAAAAGTGGAAGTCAAATAGCTGGTATTGAAAGTTGCTTGGACAATTTCTTTCGTTTTAGCCACTTTCAGATTGAAATAAATGCAACGACCAATGAGACTCATTTATGGCAATCGTCTCATTGTTCGTGTCGGATCAATTGGTCTGACATTTGACGCTTTTAGACTTGCTATACAAATATGGTAGAAGTGGCGTCACTTGGGCGATCATTTTTGTAGTTGTTTTAAACCTTTTCTGTATTTACAGCCCCCCCCCCCCCTCCCCACGAAGAAAGTCTACCGCCCCCCCCCCCCCCCCGACCGAAATGGAATTTATATAGAAAACATACTTTTACCAGTGTCCCCCCTCCCCCTCCGGAAATTGTTGACCGCCCGTCCCACCCCCAAAAATATCAAGTGCCCCCCCTCCCATAGAAAAAAGTCTGGAAGAAACACTGAACCTGTTCTGTATTTACAGTCTACATCAGCAATATAAACAACATGGTATGAGAACCCTCGGTTATGAAAAAACCAAACAACAACAAAAGCGACAGATTGTGAAAACCCATTAAATGTTATATTTCTTTAATGTTCTTCAAATAATGAAATATGAAGTCTTTGATGATCTTTTCCAGATAAGCCCCGCCACTAATGCAATGTACGGGTGAAAAATTAAGCTCCGCCACTTTTTGCGAGCTCTAATTTAATGTACGCACGCAACTTTGACCTATTTCTGATGTTGACATTTGAATATTTAAACGCACGCCATAAACACAACTATTTATCAGCACCCAGGGTTTGCGTTTATGTGTTTGTATTTATGTTAGGGTTAGAAACTAAAATTGCGCGTTTCACATCCAGTTTCAAAAAAATTATCTTTTAATGGTGGCGGGGATTAACTTTTTGGCGGTTTTTTAACTGTAAAAAAATACATCTGTAAATACTATTTACAAAACAAATGGCTTAAATGTATGATGTCATATAAATGTGAGTAAATAAACTTGTAGCTGTGTTGGGAGAATGTTGCTGTAGTGAGTACATCGTTGCAAGACGTTGTGCGACGTTTAAACACCAGCAGGTCGCTAACACAAGCAGTCGAGTTATTATTTGTCCTTTTTTTTTGGAGGGTCTTCGAAGAACATAAAATCCTGTGGGAAGAAAGATACGACATTTAGTCTTTTAGACAGTAGAGATGTATACAGTTTGACAACTGTTGTTGAAGTATGGTCCAGCTATATGGTAGATAGCTAACTAGCACACATATATAGCTAACTAGCACACATATTAGCTAAGTAGCACACACATATATAGCTAACTAGCACACATATATAGCTAAGTAGCACACATCCATAGCTAACTAACACACATATATAGCTAACAAGCACTCATATATAGCTAATTAACACACATATATAGCTAGCATACATTCAGCTTTTGAATTTATGTTTGAATAAGTTGACAGAAATAGCCAACATATTTTTCCTGTGTGCGGAAATATATTTGCGCAATTTTCGTGCACGTTTTTATCGATGCCACCCCCCCCCCCCCCCCCCCCCACCTCCCCGGTAATTCCACATACAACAACTTACAATCAAAAATACGCATCCAATCAAAGTCGCCTTTAACCTGACATCCAAATCAATTGGAACTGTGGGAGAGAGAGAGAGAGATAAGAATTTCCGTTACAAGATTATACATGAGCATTCGCGTGCTATGGAGTGGGTAAGGTAGGAAATAACCTCAAAAAAACCCATTGATTTAGGTAGCAAGAAAACAAATTTATTATCTCGTTTTAAATTTTATTTTGGCTTATATAAAAATAAATTAGAAAATAAGTTACCGTTATCTACTTGACTGCGGGATGTGCTAAAAAAAACTGACACGTCCCTCGGTGTAGGGTTAATATCCTGTCATGCCGTTTGTCGACATGCCACGCCGCGTGACACACATACTCACATGTCACGTCGCGTGACACACATACTCACATGTCACTCCTAATGACACACATACTCACATGTCACGCCATGTGACACACTCACATGTCACGACACGTGACACCCATTCTCACATGTCACGCCACGTGACACACATACTCACATGTCACGCCGAATGTGTCAGCATCACTGAAGGCCTCCTTGGCGAAATCCCCGCGATATTTCGAAATGGCGCCAATCTGGGTGCCATCCTGTACGCTCCTCACCTACGAGAGATGAAAAATGTAATTACAGCCTTCAGAAAAACGAACGTCCATAAAGAAAATAATTAACTGTTTGAAATTTAATTAGTCATCTATTTAAATTAAATTGTATGTCACATTGCATTGTCATCATCTCTTGACCCACGTGCCAAGTTTGAAAGAAATCGACCTGTTTCTGTGTTCGAAATTTCTCTCGCAAGTTTCGAAGTCATGAAGCAGAGTAAAAAGCATGACCGAGGAAACAAGTCAAACAAAAGTTTTTTAAAAACTAAGATGAGAATTATCTCGAAATATATAGTCCCAGATTAAGTTTACCCGAATCAAATTGAAATCACTCCACTTTGGCAGACAAAATTAGCTTCATACCATGAATAAATCGCCGAGTATTATTCATAAGATATTCACTTTTCAATTTACCAACATAAAAATTTAAATTGTTTTCGAGTTATACAACTTTAAAAAATAATATATATAATATAATATACAAAGTCAAATTGTTTTTACACATTCTTCGCCGGATTTCTTTTTAATTTACTTTAATCTTGAAACACACATACTTTCTGTTTAAAAGCCCTTAAAGGCACACAACTCACCTTGAACTGAATCGACTTGCAGCATAAAGTAAACTGGCAGAAGGGGCCGCAAATCTCAAACTGGGGGTTCGAGTTCTGGTCCATGATGATGAAGTGGGGTCGACAACATGAGCACCTAAACACAAACAAACCGACAACATGAGCACCTAAACACAAACAACCGACAGCATGAGCACCTATACACAAACAAACCCACAGCATGAACACCTAAACACAAACAAACAAACCGACAGGATGAGCACCTAAACACAAACAAACCGACAGCATGAGCACCTAAACACAAACAAACCGACAGCATGAACACCTAAACACAAACAAACCGACAGCATGAGCACCTAAACACAAACACACAAACCGACAGCATGAACACCTAAACACAAACAAACCGACAGCATGAGCACCTAAACACAAACACACAAACCGACAGCATGAACACCTAAACACAAACAAACAAACCGACATCATGAGCACCTAAACACAAACAAACCGACAGCATGAGCACCTAAACACAAAAAAACAAACCGACAGCATGAACACCTAAACACAAACAAACCGACAGCATGAGCACCTATACACAAACACACAAACCGACAGCATGAGAACCTAAACACAAACAAACCGACAGCATGAGCACCTAAACACAAACAAACCGACAGCATGAGCACCTATACACAAACACACAAACCGACAGCATGAGAACCTAAACACAAACAAACACACCGACAGCATGAGCACCTAAACACAAACAAACCGACAACATGAGCACCTATACACAAACACACAAACCGACAGCATGAGAACCTAAACACAAACAAACCGACAGCATGAGCACCTAAACACAAACAAACCGACAGCATGAGCACCTATACACAAACACACAAACCGACATCATGAGCACCTAAACACAAACAAACAAACCGACAGCATGAGCACCTAAACACAAACAAACTGACAACATGAGCACCTAAACACAAACACACAAACCGACAGCATGAACACCTAAACACAAACAAACCGACAGGATGAGCACCTAAACACAAACAAACCGACAGCATGAGCACCTAAACACAAACAAACCGACATCATGAGCACCTAAACACAAACAAACCAACAGCATGAGCACCTAAACACAAACAAACCGACAGCATGAGCACCTAAACACAAACAAACTGACAACATGAGCACCTAAACACAAACAAACAAACCGACATCATGAGCACCTAAACACAAACAAACAAACCGACATCATGAGCACCTAAACACAAACAAACTGACAACATGAGCACCTAAACACAAACAAACAAACCGACATCATGAGCACCTAAACACAAACAAACAAACGACATCATGAGCACCTAAACACAAACAAACTGACAACATGTGCACCTAAACACAAACAAACCGACAGGATGAGCACCTAAACACAAACAAACAAACCGACATCATGAGCACCTAAACACAAACAAACAGACGGCATGAGCACCTAAACACAAACAAACAAACCGACAGCATGAACACCTAAACACAAACAAACCGACAGCATGAGCACCTAAACACAAACAAACCGACAGCATGAGCACCTAAACACAAACAAACCGACATCATGAGTACCTAAACACAAACAAACACACCAACAGCATGAGCACCTAAACACAAACAAACCGACAGCATGAGCACCTAAACACAAACAAACTGACAACATGAGCACCTAAACACAAACAAACAAACCGACAACATGAGCACCTAAACACAAACAAACCGACAGCATGAGCACCTAAACACAAACAAACTGACAACATGAGCACCTAAACACAAACAAACCGACATCATGAGCACCTAAACACAAACAAACAAACGACATCATGAGCACCTAAACACAAACAAACTGACATCATGAGCACCTAAACACAAACAAACCGACAGCATGAGCACCTAAACACAAACAAACCGACAGCATGAGCACCTAAACACAAACAAACAAACGACATCATGAGGACCTAAACACAAACAAACCGACAACATGAGCACCTAAACACAAACACACCATAAACTTTAACCGACAAAGGTGACAGTCACACGCCTAAATATAAATGTATGTGTCTGGGCATACAACGTTGGATCTTGTCTCTTACCCTTACAACATACGAATGTTACGTAATGTACATGTTTTAAGTCAAGTTCGCTTTCAAACTTGACTATCTGTGCGGCAAGTAAAGGAAAGTTCACCTGTTTCTGTGACCTCGACCTCGACCTCGACCTATAAAGGGATAGTATGGTCAGCACTAGGCCCAGATTTGAACCCGGATTCGAACTCGAGGCTTTCTGGTTAGTAATCGTTTGCGCTACCATTCGTCTTAAATTTATCATCAGCAAACTTTATGAATGTGTTGGGTAGATTACATCTAACGTCATGGTATCTTGACCATGACCTTCGAGTAAACAACAATGGCGGTGTTTTTATAGTTTCGTTTCGTGTAGTTAATCGCATCGTTTCTACAGACGTAGATTATATCATTTTTATTATTATTACCCTTTATATTGACGACACTAAACCAGAGGCGTAGCGACCCTACCCGGCGCCCGGGGACAAACTTTTTGATATGCACCCCCCCCCCCCCCTCAAACTAACTTTCAATTTCCACCCCCCTCAACCTTTCAATTTATTATTCCAACCCATTTTGGCGCCCCTAAGCTTGGCGCCCGGGGACATAAGTTCCCCCCGCCCCCCCCCCCCCCCTCGCTACGCTACTGCACTAAACTTACTATTAACGTCCTTGAACTTTATATTGACGGCCCTGACCTTACCTCTGACGAGCCTTCCCTAGGCGAGTTCCATCTAGTGCTGTGACCTGTACCTCATCCTGACAGATGCTGCACCAGGCAACACACGAGCCGCACTTGAGGCATTTGTAGGGCCGATATATCGTGAAGACAGTCTAGGACATACAACATACAACATTTGTAGGGCCGGTATATCGTGAAGACAGTCTAGGACATACAACATACAACATTTGTAGGGCCGGTATATCGTGAAGACAGTCTAGGACATACAACTTACATTTGTAGGGCCGGTATATCGTGAAGACAGTCTAGGACATACAACATACAACATTTGTAGAGCCGATATATCGTGAAGACAGTCTAGGACATACAACATACAACATTTGTAGGGCCGGTATATCGTGAAGACAGTCTAGGACATACAACATTTGTAGGGTCGGTATATCGTGAAGACAGTCTACAACATACAACATTTGTAGGGCCGGTATATCGTGAAGACAGTCTAGGACATACAACATTTGTAGGGTCGGTATATCGTGAAGACAGTCTACAACATACAACATTTGTAGGGCCGGTATATCGTGAAGACAGTCTAGGACATACAACATTTGTAGGGCCGGTATATCGTGAAGACAGTCTAAGACATACAACATACAACATTTGTAGGGCCGGTATATCGTGAAGAAAGTCTAGGACATACAACATTTGTAGGGCCGGTATATCGTGAAGACAGTCTAGGGCATACAACATACAACATTTGTAGGGCCGGTATATCGTAAAGACAGTCCAGGACAAAACCTAAACATCATTTGTCCTCAAACACCTTCAATTAAAGCATGTAAGTCAACCACTATCACGCAACACCGCAATGTAACGATCCACCATTAATTAACACACACGTTTACAACCTACACTCAATCAACATTCACACAGCTGAATGAACAACCAGCAATGTACATCGCCTGATGACCAGCCCTCACACAACACCAACACAGCCAGCTGACCAAGACACACCCCCCCCCCACACACACACCCCATCACACCTTGTGTGACACTGCGTCATTTAACATTCACACAGCTAACTTGTCAGAAGGACCACGATCTGTCTAGAAGACCCAATATACCTTTTGAAAATTATCCTGCACAATGATTTCAAAACAGCGATTCGGCCCGCACCATTGTCGAGCGCAACAGTTAGACTCTGAGAAAGAAATGTTTCAAATCTTTGACTCTAATCTTAAATATACTATTGACATCCTTTTTTCTTCTGTTAATTTTTTTGGTCCTCAGACATTATCACCTAGACATAGCCACAACACCATCACTTACGTATTATATGTACAACATCATCATTTACATATTATATGTACAACATCATCATTTACATATTATATGTACAACATCATCATTTACATATTATATGTACAACATCATCATTTACATATTATATGTAAAACATCATCATTTACATATTATATGTACAAAATCACCATTTACATATTACATGTACAACATCATCATTTACATAATATATTCACAACAACATACATTACACACTATATTCACAACGACATCAATTACATATTATATCGACAAGACCATCACTTACACATTATATTCTCAACAACATTGATATTATAAAATAACATCAAATTCACCTTAGTGTACTCTCTACAACACCATCACCTAAATATATTAAACACCATTACTTACAAAGTATATCCATATCACCATCATGTACATAGTATATCGACAACACCATTACTTACACAGTATATTCACAACACCATCGATAACATATAATAACAAAAACTTCACCTACAACACCATCACCTAAACATATATTTAAAACACCATTACTTTCAGTGACGTAGCAAGGTGCGATTATTCCTGTAATGCCCAACCCCGTCTTCTACCAACTTAAAAAATTTCTTTAAATCGGATGCCTTTTCTGATTACACCAATATGTCTTGATGTCATGTTCGGCCATTACCAACCGCACCCCCTTGCTACGCCACTGCAGGAAATGTGTAAAGCTACACCAATATTTACTTTCGAATGCGTAGTAACATTTTTGGTTGGCCTTGTTATAGATAGTGTAAGAGTTCTCAGTCTCGAACTGGAGCATAACTGGAAGAAAAAATATTCATTGGAAGTTTCATTGAAAACAAATTCTGTTCTTAATCAACAAATTAAAAATCCCAATGGAACGATGGATCAAGGACATAATAAATCAATAGAGCATATTATTCCAAGGGGGGGGGGGGGGGAGATCAGTCCTTAACACCTATAAGGACATACACTGTGAGTTAAGGATATAAAAAAATAGTTTCAGTGAAAGCTTTGGTTAAGAGTGAAAAATTACAATGGAACTTAGGGTTCCTGGGTTGGGAGATAAGTTTTTATTAGATATGTGTTAGGGGGTTGGCCCTTTCTTCACTTGGCTTTGTTAAGGCCTGTAGGACTCCTTCAGTTTAAAACGCAACGACACAATGCCAAGTTCAAATAATACCACAGTTTATTTAAATATAGGCACACATCAAACTATTCCTTACTCTACTGTCCTACACTTTACTCCCACTCTCTCACTCTACCCTAGCTAAAATCCAAGTTCAACTTCACTATCCCTCAACAGTATCTATCTCCACCTGTTTTCTAAGACTGGACCTGAACCAACACACAAGACTGACCAACACCGCTATCTTTTCCCAGCGGCGCTAACTCCGGCCAACTCTTAACAATTGGTCAGCTGACCGTCGCACGTGACTCATCATCTAGCATCTCATTGGCTCCTACCTCAACTGCTTGACCTAAAGCTATTTCTTAACTGCTACATTTTTTTTTCTATGTTCTTTTTCTAACCTTGCCTAACTTTACGTCATCACATTTTTAAAAAAAATTATGTCCTTAACGTATAAGTAGATTAACATTTTTCAATAGAACCAGGGGGTTAAGGAGATTTAAAAATTGCAAAAGAAACAGAGGGTTAAGCAAACAAGCGATATATTAATTTTTTTTTTTTTTTTAAATTGAAAACAAATGTGTTCACACAAAGCGAGAGTCTCCTCATCTAAACTTGCTCGTATATTCATGTATAAAACAAATGGTTGGGGTGACACTTCCAGCCAGTACTCACTCTCCAACAACTCGACCTCTTGTTGAACGATCACCTCGTCTAGCAGGGTCAGGTACTCCAGTCCCGGGGGACACGTCGGTTGGGGCGCCACTGTCGGCATCCAAAGGGCGTACCCTGGAACATAGACATAGACCGCATATAAAACAGGCTATAGTGTTTAAGACATTCTACAACATGTAAGACAGACTACAACATGTAAGACAGACTACAACATGTAAGACAGACTACAACATGTAAAACAGACTACAACATGTAAGACAGATTACAACATGTAAGACAGACTACAACATGTAAGATAACATGTAAGACAGACTACAACATGTAAGACAAACTACAACATGTAAGACAGACTACAACATGTAAGATAGGTCGTACCACGTCACAGATGCATAAGGGCATTGCACTGACCATACACTCTCATGACAGGGCATTACAATAATGATATGCCTTCACAACAGGGCATTGAACACGTTCTATCCACGACAGCGCTTAAAGGTGACTCCATGCTCACTCAACCGGGCACTGAACACGGTATGGAGTTTATGGCCTTTGGGTAACTGGGCCCAATATAGCGTGCCTAGAATTAGTGATGACGGGGTTTTGGTTGGCCCAACATAGAATTACCTGGGATTAGTAACCGTGGAGTTTTGGTCAGCCCAATATAGTACCTGGAATTAGTAACCGTCGAGTTTTGGTCAGCTCAATACAATACCTGGAATTAGTAACCGTGGAGTTTTGGTCAGCCCAATATAGTACCTGGAATTAGTAACCGTGGAGTTTTGGTCAGCCCAATATAGTACCTGGAACTGCTGACGGTGGGGGGTCAGGTTGACCCGATGGCTGCTCCACTACTGCTTGAGGATCCGTCTCTTTAACCCTGGACTCATCTGAAGACGCTGAAGACTTATCAGATTTCTGGGACTGGTCAGATTTTCGGGACTGGTCAGATACTTTAGACATTCACTGGAAATAAGTTCGAACGTTTATTTCCAAATATCAATCTAGTTTGGTGTAGTGGGGGTGGAGGTACATTTTTGTATATTTTTTTAGCGCAATTTCCATTCTGGAGAATTGCGTTTATTAACTCGTCATTTCTGGGAATGGATGGATGGATGAATGTATGGATGAATGTGTGTCCGGGCTTTAAGTCGTATCTCCTCCTCAACGAAGCAATATCGATGACTAGTTACAAAAGCAATTATGTTAAGCAAGTTACAAGAATGAGCATAGGCCATAAAAATTCCGGGTTTCTTTCATGTATTTCCCGGAAAAGCCAAAAAACCTCGAAAAAAATCAGTTTTTGGCCCATATCTCGGCAACCAAGCCACTTAGCGACTTGAAACATATACCAATCGATTCCTGTCATAATTTAGAACAATATTGCCGAAAAAAGTTTTCAAAAATATCCTCTCGTTCGGTCACAAATTTTAAAATTACATAAACACCTACAAACCGATCGTTCTTCTAGCTTGAATGCACCCCAACATTATACGTCAGAGCTATTTTTAGATAACATAAGGAAATTGCGCACAAATGTCACTAGACTTTTTTAATTAACTTGTTTATAAAAGCTCTACACAAATTAAAAGGCAAAAAAAAAACCAGTCTAAATAAAATCTAATGTGTCGTATTTTAAAATACAAAATTGCAAGTAGGGATAATTAATTGACTACAATTATCTGACTTTAATGGTCTACATTCCTTATAATAAAGTTAAACCAAACCCATTAGTCATCTTAGCATTATCATTTTGGTGACAATATCAAGTGATAAGATGTCTAACTTCAAAACAAAGATAAGAACGCCACTACGCCTATACTTTAAAACTGTTTTTCTATACAAAGTTGCATAGATCTACAACAGTAAATGATGCCTAAGACCATGCTTACCTTTGATTACAACTTAAAATATTTAAAGAAAATTTACACTTGATGTTTTGCAATTGTACTGGTTTTATCGTAAAAATAATTTATTGTGCGATAAGGCTAGAGTTGATGCAAAGTGGTGCGCTACATACAAAGTGGTGCGCTATACACAATACACGACACAACCAGCTGAATAGGGGAAATAGAATCTTTCACCATCAACCAATCTATATTACACGTTTGTTTGTATGAGTTAATAAATAACAAGGGTCGCATAGTCTTTCTTATGACAGGCAACGCAGTTTTAAATTAAAATTTATCTTTGTTTTGTTAGATTTTCAGTTGTCTAGGTCTGTTCTTAAGGGTACAATGTAATGCTAGAATTATGAACTGACAAAATGAAGTAATCTGTTCTGCCTTTGAAAAAATCGTTGATTTATCGTATTAGCCTATTTATGTAGAGTATTGTAGAGTTTCAAACAAACAGATGAACTTTGCACAACACAAACTAATATCCCATTATACCGATCTCACCCTATATAGTCTTTAACCCCAAATGAATCCCTGTACTTAGACCCAAACGTAAGTCCTTTTTTAGGACATCCATTTATCACGTCCATGCGGATAGGAGGGGGCGGGCATAGAGGAGTCGAGTTTTGTGGATACTTGCAGAAGAAAAATTTGACAAAAACATTTTTTTTTATCAATAGCGTCTAGCCAAACTTGTTTGCATTGAAACAAATCAAATTACACGTTTTACTACACATTTGAAAACAAAAAAGTGAATATAATTTAAAAAGCAAAACAAAAATCTTGGAAGATATTTTTTTACTGGTTTGTGTATTCATTACTTAACACACAACAAACTAAATACATTTTCAGCCATTTAAATTCATCAATAATCGTACAATATTCATGTTTCAGCTTTTAAAGCCTGAACACGATATATAAACATAAAAAATATTAACCAGAATTCCAATAGATGTTTTGGTGATTTGTGGTTATACTAAACTATCAGGATAACAAATATTTTAATATATATTCCTTTTAGTTACTGTAGTTTTTTTTATTTATTACGAAAGAAAAAGAAACTCATACACAATAAAGCAATTATGTTAATTTGAAAGTCATTAGATCATCAACAGGATAATTAGCACAACCGTTGAGGAAGTCTCAAGAAAAATGTGAAAAAAATGTAATTGTACAAAAATAGAATTTTTACATTTTTTTTTACAACTTCCGGGTATTGTACCGTCATGCGCGTAGAGGGGTGAGCTTGGTGAAACAGTGACATCATTCAACTCGACGAGAGTCAACTACTGTCTATAAGCGTACATTGAAAGCTAAGGTGCTCTTACTTTAGCCAAGCCTGTTGCCAAATTAAAACCGTTTGCTAAGTAAAACAAAGCGTGTGTGAGTGTGTGTATGTGTGTATTTACAATAGTATGATAATCATGATTTAATTATTAAGACAAGCACAAGAAGTCTTGAGACAAAATAGCGAAAAAAGGCTGAGCACTTTTGTGGATGTTTGCACGTATTATAGAACACAAATGGGCGGGTTATTTAGTTTTGTACTTTTACATGGCGTCGCGTGATACACAGCCTTTTATTTTATTTTCACTAGAATGTTTGCGGTAGACTGATTCAAGGTAAAGTTCCCTTTCAAACCTGACGGTCTACGGGACAAGAGTAGAATTGCAAGTCTCGTTTGATATCGAAACTAGACTTGAAAGCCCCATAATCTCGATACATCGGTCCCCTATTATTTGAATATACACAAAACCCACATTAAAGAACATTCCCTTGCATATGTAATGAAAACAGATTCGCACATAAAATGCTTCAATCGTCCACACAGAAAAAAACTCATTTGTTGATTCAGTATATTATATAGAGCACATTTGTACATGTTATTTTTTTTTTATCAATGGGCACTGTTAAGTCACGTGACGTTCATGTTTTTGTTATCTCACGTGACGATAAACACGTGACATCATGACAACGATTTGGCTGAGCTATTTATAGACTGGCCGCTAGGTCGAGAGGAAGTCGATGTAGGTCTCGTGCCGCGTGGTACTCGTGTGGTCGTACCCAACGACCTTGATCTCCGTGCCCCCAAAGATGACCTCAAGGTCAACGGCCCGGTCACGCCCTCCCGTGGGGTCGGGCATCTCCACGACCAGGAACCCGCACTTCTCCACCCCGGGCTCGTCCGTGTACTGCACCTTCTTGCAGGTGGAGCGGAAGAACTCGAAGATGATCCCTTTCTGGTTGTTGATGATGGGCGTGTACGTCTCGCGCCAGATCTCGTTGTGACCTATGACCTCCCCGGCCTCGGCCCACGTCTGAAAAATATTCTTACACAGGTCCATTCCGTCCGAGTTAACGCGAAGGTCCTCCCGGTGCACGCCGTCATCGAACGGGAGATAACTCCCAACGCCGTAGGTAAACCGGCAGATTCTCTGACAGATGGCGCTAGGGTCGTGACCGAAAGCCACGGCGCCTTTCACAACCGCTAAACTTGCTTCCTCTGGGACTAGAATAGTCACCCGCTCGCCGAATTTCTCCCGCATGGCCGTCTGCAGACGAGACGATTCCGCGAAGCCGCCGACCAGAAATATATTATGCAAGTCTTTACATTTCGGCTTATGCAGCAGAGACTGAACGTGATCGTTGATCTGGTCCAACGCGTCTTTAAACAAAGCGTTGACTTTAGCAGACGACAGAACAAGTTTACCGGAGGAGAATTTGATATCGCTGCTTCCTTTCTCGGCGGAGAAGTTTTTTATCGCCTGCTGCACGGAGACGCCGTTGTGCTTGTAGTTGCAGAAGTTGTAAGGCAGGGACACGCGAATACTCTCGCACTCCCCGCGTTTCTTGATCTCAAAGTCTTGCAACAGTTCGACGAAGTCCTTGGGGTATTCCTTCAAGAAGGAGGCGATAAACTCCTCCCCGAAGATGGTTTCCAGGAGATTGTGGAACTGTCTGTCAATGATGGTCCCGCCCCAAGCCCCGCCTGTGGCCCGGAACAGCTCACGTATGCGGCCATCTTTGCGGATCTTGTGGGCCACACAGTCGATGGTTCCACCTGGAGATAGGCAAAGTACGTGAGGTAAATGAGGTAGATGAGGTAGATGAGGTAGGTGAGATTGATGATGTAGATGTAGGTAGGTAAGGTAGGTGAGGTAGGTGAGGTAGGTGAGGTAGGTGAGGTAGGTGAGGTAGAGAACGTGAGGTAAATAAGGTAGGTGAAGTAGATGAAGTAAATGAGGTAGGTGAGGTAGGTGAAGTAGATGAGGTAGGTGAGATAGATGAGGTAGGTGAGTTAGACGATATAGGAAAGGTAAATGAGGTAGGTGAAGTAGATGAGGTACATGAGGTAGGTAAGATAGGTGAGGTAGACGATATAGGAAAGGAAGATAAGGTATTTGAGATAGGTAAGGTAGGTGAGATAGATGAGGTAGATGAGTTAGACGATATAGGAAAGTTAGATGAGGTAGATGAGGTAGGTGAGATAGATGAGGTAGATAAGGTACACATTCTACCACATATTCATACCATTCGAATACAGACCACATATGCCCATAGATATCAAACATATCTCCTCATATATATAACACATGTATACCACATGTACCATATATATCTCATATATATATATATATATATATATATATATATATATATATATATATATATATATATACCACAAATGTATGCCACATATATATACCTCATATGTATACCACAAATGTATACCACACATATATATACCTCCAGCGTCAACCACCAAGTATTTTGTTCCAGGCTCGAAACTGGGTTTGGACAGAGCAGAATCCTTGTAGCCTACAAAATCTGTAGCCGGAAGATTCCGGCAGTGTAGAGAAGCAGCTTCAGGCTCGAGGGCTATGACCAGCTGTTCGCTGTTGGGCTTGTCGATGAGTCCACCCTAAGAAATATTCAACATTTTTTCAATCAAAGGGTACTAATTACTGAGTCCAATCAACTCTAATTAGTAATCAACTAAAATCGGGAAAGTAAAGCTTATTGGGAATGGAGCTGACCATAGGATTACTTCACACGTAAAGCTCAAAAACCAAATACGCTCTACTTGATCTACTCTAGGGACAGTCAGGTCTAAAAGAGCCATTCATTATTTGTTTGTTTTTAATCCTGCTAATATTAATAAACAGAAATTAAAATTGTAAAAAAAAAAAAGTAAACAGAACTTAAAATGTCAAATTGCATAAATTTTTGAGAGGCCCTTAAGCTGTGGCCTTGTTAACCCCATGTTCAAGTCGGCACCGCGCCTCTATCTAATGAACTCACTTTATGAGCAGCCTCGCGCATGAACTGTTTGGCGTTTTCGTCCCAGATGGCCGGCACGGTGAGCACCCACCGGACGGTGTCGGGGTGGGGGTCGTACCCCAGGTGTGTGCCGATGGCCCGCAGCAGGTGTTTCTTCATGAAGGTCAGGGAGTGGGCGAACACGTCCACGGCCGGCTGGGTTTTCCCGTTGGCGTCCGTGATGGTGATGTCTGTGGTCAGTTGCTGGACGGGGAAAGTTGATTTTTTTTAATAAGGGAAGATTTTAAGGTGAAAGTTGATTTTTAAAAAGGGAAAGTTGATTTTAAGGTGAAAGTTGATTTTTAAAAAGGGAAAGTTGATTTTAAGGTGAAAGTTGATTTTTAAAAAGGGAAAGTTGATTTTAAGGTGAAAGTTGATTTTTAAAAAGGGAAAGTTGATTTTAAGGAGAAATGCGATTTTTTTAAAAGGAAAGTTGATTTTAAGGTGAAAGTTGATTTTTAAATAGGGAAAGTTGATTTTAAGGTGAAAGTTGATTTTTTAAAAAGGGAAAGTTGATTTTAAGGTGAAAGTTGATTTTTTAAAAGGAAAAGATTATTTTAACGTGAAAGTTGATTTTTAAAAAGGAAAATGTGATTTAAAGGTGAAAGTTGATTTTTAAAAAGGGAAAGTTGATTTTAAGGTGAAAGTTGATTTTTAAAAAGGAAAAGATGATTTTAAGGTGAAAGTTGATTTTTAAAAAGGAAAAGATGATTTTAGGGTGAAAGTTGATTTTTAAAAAGGGAAAGTAGATTTCTAAAAAAAATAAGAAAGGGGAAGTTGATATTTTTAAAGTTAGGATAGGAAAGATGATTTTTAAAAATTAGGAAAAGTTGATTTTAGTAAATAAGAAAGGTAAAGGCAATTTTAAGATAAACTGCGGAAGCTCTGGAAAGCGGTTACTGCTAGAAATAGATTTTCAGAAAGGAGAAATAATATTATGTAAGGATATTTTTTTTTTAGATATAGATCTAGTAGTAAGTTTCAGAAAAGTTTCTTTTTAACTAGGTTTTTGTATATGAATGTTTAATATATAGTGTAGTCAGTTGCTGAAATTTGAACTTTTACCAATAAAAAAAAATTCTGTGCATAATTTATTATGTTCATTTTGTTTTATTTTAAGCAGACCTAAATTTTAAACCGCTTATGAAAATTTTTATTTTTTAAAATTATCTGTAAGACATAAGTGTTCTCTCAACTCAATAAACGTTTTAAAATTCTCGTTTAAATCTCGTTTAAATCTCGTTTAAATCTCGTTTAGATCTCGCCTGATGTACTAAAACAACGAACGTGTGTACCTTGTTGTTGTACAACTTCATCTTGAACCGGTCGAAGTAGTAGCAGGTGCAAGCCTCGTCTTCAGACAGCTCGTTGTATTTGGAGACAGCCTCGAACCCGAACGCCTCAAACTGACCGTCAGATTTCAGCAGAAGGCAGGTTGGCGTCTTGTGTAGCAGGAACCCTGATATGCGTGGAGTGGGTGGGGTTAGAGGAGAAGTTAAATGACTTTTTTTTTTTTTTTTTTTTTTTTTGTAAACGCATTAGTGTGGTTTGTGAAAATCAGTTTTGATTAAATAGAAACCTCTGTCTCTCTATTGACAGAGAAGTTAAATGATGCAGTTGAATAAATTTCTAGGAGATTGAACAATCAGTCTGAAATTTTCTTAATTGATGAATCATATTTGCAAAAGTTGAACAAGAAAAAACTTGTCTTTCAATTTTACATTTTTTAATTTTTTAAAAATATACAAAACAAAATTTCAAGTTATGCTTTACAAAGATTTTTGAAAATTTTTCTAGCTTATAAGCACTAAGTTTGCAATTAAAACCTGCAGTTTTTACATATACATGTATTTTACTAAAATAAAGATACTTTAAGACGAGTTATTTCCCTTTAGTTTGCTCAGGGTAATAAACCGAATTACCTACCTTGAGTCTGCCCCCAGTTTTTATTGACATGGATGGCCTGTTTGTTGGAAGCGAAGCTGTACGCGTACCCGCTGAACGTCGTACCGAAGTCGATGGCGGCGACGATTTGGTAGTCTGCCACGTCCTCGCCATCGTTGTCCAGTCTGGTGGACGCCATGGTCATCCCGGCGTCGGTTGCCGGCCCTTGGTCGTCTGCTGAGTGGGCGGGCTTGCTTTTCTTGGGCGACTGTTTTCTGGCGACAGAGTTCGATTCTGCCATCATTCAATCACTCCGCCGTCAGGTCTGTGGTTTTAAATTTCCAGCCCAACACAAAAGAGATGAGTCCTAACAAAATAAAAATAATCAATAAATAACTGGTGAAACTAGAGTTGTGTCCCCTGAGCTACACAGAAAATTATAAACAATATAGAGACGATAAACGAATCAACTTGTTCAAAATACCGACAATCTCTGAACGAAACCCACCTTTGTCTAACTCTAATTCAAAATTGCTTTAACTTGATCTGGGATATTGAGCTGAGCCTATCATAATTATTGTTTCGCAACATATATAGTCATAACTTTTATATTTAAAAATGCAAAATCAGTACGTCAAAAATGATGGCAAATCGATTGCACTACACAAACATCAGTATTTTCTTTTTGTTTTTAGCCCCATGAAACAGGAATCGGGAAATTTGTTTGTCGTCTGTGTGTGGTACTGAATACATGAGACTATGATAAGAAACAAATTGTCCCAAGTTTTTCAGAACCACAAAATTAAATAACACAATTCAAATAGCAATAGAGTTTGTGAATCCCAAGGACATGATCGAGTTGTCGAACTTCTCTGAAGCAGGAGATTAATCAAGCGGTACTCCTACCCGTGTTCTTAAGAACTCATGACTTAACGCAATGCCACTGCTTCTCCTTAGGATAAAGCCTACCAGATTATCTGAAAGTGAATGGTTGCTCTCCTACCAAATAATGAATAACCCCTATAGGATAAAGGATAAAACTAATAGTAACACTTAGTTCAGTAGAATGCTACTATACTTAGGCCGATATCAGGTCGCTATACCATTAGATCAATAAAATATCACTGTAACATTAGGCCGATAAAACTCACTATAGCCTTATACTCATAGAAGTTTGTTATACCATTAGGCCGATAGAAGGCCGCTATAATATTAGGCCGATAGAAAGCCACTATACTTTATTTCAGTAACTACTGAAATAAAACTTACTTAAAATAATGATTGAGAATGATGTTCGCTCACCCATACGGAAAGCACGTTTTATGCTTGCTTGTTCTGATAAAGTTTCATTATTAGAGTAAGTGTATAATGCACTGTTTTCGTTAGGCTGGAGTTGGTATCAACTAAAATAACACGTTGTACTAGCTATCTATCGTGTGATAAAGCTAAGAACACTATTCACATTGGCAAAAATTGTACGAAAATATTTTTTGTCACAAAATAAAATTACAAAAGTATTCTTAAACTTACCAAATTTGTTATTTTATTTTTTTCAAATAAAGCCCAACAAAATCACAAGCCTATTTATACAAGACCCGCGCAGATTATACTTTTATCTTAGATCAGCTTAAAGCTTTGTCATGGTGCCATAAACCTTTATAGCTCAAATCTTCGGGAATTCCGAGTCATTTTATGACTTGAGGAAACAATTCCTAAGAAATTTTGATATTAATCTATCTTGTTACTATATTTAGACTCTACGTGTTGACCCCTTACGTAATCAATATATGCGTATGTCACGAGTAAATCACTCTGATCTTCACAACGTGGAACTATATTTAGATACGACTTACGGTAAACTTGCGGTACACAGCCGAAATTTCCGACAGCAATTTGCTGTGTTGCCGCGCTCGCTTGCAAGCGTCACAGGTTAGAACCGTCTCCGGCAGCACAGCCCTGGCAGACGACACATGGACCCTCACATCGATCAGGAACCGGAACGTGTCCCCCACACAGCCGTCCAGCACCGCGGACCCACACTACAACGGCCGTGGGATGTCGGCGTGCCGGGTAAGGCGACCTCGATCGATTCTCTTCCTTCTAGCGGCGCCCGTGTCATGGCCATCGCACGATGCCGGTTCCGTGTATGGGATTCAAATATCGATCCGTGCTGGGAGGATCACGTGACCTTCTCGGTGTGTTTCGTTCCTGGGTTTCTTTGTGTCCTTAACAATCAATACTAGCGTCAAAACACGGTTAGTTTCGTTTTTATAGACATTGGCTGAATTATGGCCAACATTCCATTGTTCTTGGTATTGTATATATATATATATATATATATATATATATATATATATATATATATATATATATATATATATATATATATATATATATATATATATATATATATATATATATATATATATATATATATATATATATATATATATATATATATATATATATATATATCTTCTTAGTTCTTTAATTTTTTAAACTTACTGACAAGACAAAGTATACCAGGAAATATAAAGCTTAAAATGTCCAAACGTAATGGATACGTCTTTTCAGCCTGTGCACCGAACCCAATAGGCAACTACCCATGCATGCCACCGATGACTAACACAAACGACCCCCCCCCCACACACACACACACCCCTACCCGTAAATCTGAGTCACGTGACAATCCCAGAGTCGATCGATGCCCGTACAGAGAAATGTCCCCGTGCTGGGGTGCGCGTGCTAGGGTTTGAGGGTGAGTAAGAGGGGATTGCTCACACGTTGTGCATGCACGTCTCGGCCTCAGAGTGTTTTGTTCCCGGGTCTCCAGCCTCGACACATCCAACCAGCGGGTACGTCCTAATTCTGCATCTTTGTATTTAGTTCTCTCTCCTTACTTACCTTCAAAATAGAATTAGCTACAAATATTTTAGACGCATGTAATTGATTTAATTAGCGATAACATGTACGCATGTAATAAAACACGCGATGATTAGATATCTAATTCGGTATTTAATTTAATGTATTTCTTTCATTTAAAACGTCTAGTTTTTTTGTTATTTTTTTTTTAATTATTCATTTGCACGTCAAAAAGAAGCCACAATTTTTTCACCCCGTCCAAAATAAACTAGTTTCACATTTGTATGAAAGTTGAAATAACTTCAGCTTTGGAAAATGTATTTAAAACTTTGTAAAAAAAAATAGAAATAAATGATGTTAGTGGTTACTGTTGTATTTATATTATCTCTTATGTTGTACCTTAAAATTTTTGATTGGTTTTTTATTTAATTTTTTTGCCCGATTACCTCCAAAAAATTATAAGTACATTTTTTTAACGTATTGTTTTTATATTACTTGTTGAATTTTTTGCCATACATTTCGGTGTTTTTTTTTACTAGTGGCCAGATTTAATTTTTTAGCAAACCAAATTTTAAAATATGAAATTTTTTAATTCTAAAAAAAAGGAAACATGCAATATGTTCTGCAATTTAAGTGTATTTTTCGAAGAAAGTAATTTGATACCGTTTTTTTTTTACGAAAATTGGCGATGAAACTATGTGAAGGAATTAGTGTAAAAATGAAAAACTACTGTATAGCTATTGTGTGGTCTGTGTAATAATCTCACGACAGCTGTCTAATGTGTGTGTGTCAAGGTGTTTGACTGACAATGTTGGCTAACAATGATGTTGCCGTAACAAAGATGTCTTCCTCAATGCAACAGCACTTTTTTACTTTCTCGTATATACGAAGTATAGAGAAAGTATTGTAATCGTGCACAAAAATCATTTGAAATTTTAACAATTTTCACCGTATTATACCTCAGTCCTTCATCACATCCGAAGTATAGAGGACTTATTTTAATCGGGCAAAAATTATCAATCCAGATTTATCAAAATTAAGAGGTTTTATGCGTAATCCAGTCTGAAAAACTGGGCCTTGCAATTCTGTCCGTATGTCTCTGTGTGTGTGTGTGTGTCTGTCCGTGTGTAAACACGATAACTTGAGTACCGTTACAGCTAGGTTGATGAAATTTCATATATAAGTATTTTATCAAAATCGTAGATCCGTATCAACTTTTGAGCGATTTCCGATAACCGGAAGTGGTACTTTTTCTACTTTGAATTTTTCAAAAGCCTATAACTTGAGTACTATTTCAGATAGATAAATGAAATTTCACATGTAAGTAAAAGATCTAATTCTCTACCTTCTGTTAAATTTTGAGTAATTTCCGTTGACCGGAAGTAGTAATTTACGCTACTTCCGATTTCTCAAAAAACTAATGTAAATTTTTAAAGTACTAATAATATTGCGCACTATTATGCATTTCTTTATTTGGCGTTCACTTGGTGTGCAATTCTTTTGTCTACGAGATTTTATTCTATTTTTAAAACTTTAAGTATTTAAAATGGATTAAAAATCATGTCTATAGCCCGAGTTCCCTTCCCTTTTGTTTTATATAAGAATATTCGAGAAAGTTTAGGGGAGATCACTCCCGGTTTATTTTCCTCTTTTTTTTTTACGGTCAGAAAAATGTCTAAATTGTCGTCAGGCAAATTTTAGCATATTTTATATTTATCTATCATCTTTTTAAACATCCAAAATAAATCCCGCATTAATGCTCGTAAACGCATTCCCACGCAGTTCATCATCTTTAAAGTCTGAACCCCCTGTCCATCCGCCGCCCCCTTCACCCCCCCCCCCCCCCGCCCTTTTTTTTCCAGGTTGTTGCGTCATTTATGAACAACTGTTTACAAGTCTATTTATATCAATTTTTCTTGACCCAAAAAATCAACCTTTTTTTTTACTTTTTTTTTGTAACTGCAGATACTCCAAACACCGACTGAGCACCGCGGCCGTCTTGATCGTGATGGTCGTGTGTGTAAGTCAACAGGAACAGCAACTCTCCAAGCTCCTACAGTCCCGCCGCCCCCGCCGCTACACGGAAGAATAGGCCAGGTACAAACCATGTCGGGCGAGACTAAGAAGGACATCCGGACAGAGGCCAGAAACTTTAGTGCCAGCTTGACCAACGTTTTCCTGCTCAAGAGGCGCGACCCACAGTCCAAGAACTTGCTGGAAAAGGCACAGGTACTGAGATAATTTGCCAAAAAAAAAAACAAAAAAACATACGTTTTAAAACACAAAAACGATCAGCTAATACTATTAGCTGATCGTTTTTGTGTTTTAAAACTACATTTTTGTGTGAAGTTTTAAAGATACATTATAGTTTAAGTTCACAACTGCACCGATACTACTGCAATCCATGCAACTGACCATGCAATCGTCAATATTTTGTAACAAGGTCAATGTTTTGTAACACAGTCAATGTTTTGTAACACAGTCAATGTTTTATAACATAATCAATTATTCTTAACGTCATTTTTTTACAGCCAATACAATGCTCTCAGTGTAATTGATAATACCAAGTCTATATAATGTATCAATGAAAATGTAATATCCATGTAAGAATATAACATCTCGGTGTAGTTGTGCCACTCTGGATAAAGTACCTTTATCTTCCTGCTTCGCCCCTATACTTCACAGACTTCACCATTGTATATACTACACCATTGTATACACTGCACCATGGTATAAACTTCACCATTGTATATACTACACTATTGTATATACTACACCATTGTATATACTACAGAGGCGTAGCGAAGGGGGGCGGGGGGGGGGGGGGGGGACATATGTCCCCGGGCACCGACCTTAGGGGCGCCAAAATGGGTTGGAAAAATAAAATAAATTGAAAGCTTGAGGGGGGTGCAAATCAAATCTTGAGGGGGGTGCAAATCGAAAGTTTGAGGGGGGTGCAAATCGAAAGCTTGAGGGGGGTGCAAATAGAAAGTTTGTCCCCGGGCGCCGGGAAGGGTCGCTACGCCTCTGATATACTATACCATTGTATATACTACACCATTGTATATACTACACTACTGTATATACTACACGATTGCATATATATATACTACACTATTGTATATTATACCACACCATTATATATACCACACCATTATATATACCACACCAGTGTATACACAACACCATTGTATATACTACACTACTGTATATACGACACCATTATATATACCACACCATTATATATACCACACCATTGTATATACCACACCATTATATATACCACACCATTATATATACCACACCATTATATATACCACACCATTATATATACCACACCATTATATATACCACACCATTATATATACCACACCATTATATATACCACACCATTATATATACCACACCATTATATATACCACACCATTATATATACCACACCATTATATATACCACACCATTATATATACCACACCATTATATATACCACACCATTATATATACCACACCATTATATATACCACACCATTATATATACCACACCATTATATATACCACACCATTATATATACCACACCATTGTATATACCACACCATTATATATACCACACCATTATATATACCACACCATTATATATACCACACCATTATATATACCACACCATTATATATACCACACCATTATATATACCACACCATTATATATACCACACCATTATATATACCACACCATTATATATACCACACCATTATATATACCACACCATTATATATACCACACCATTGTATATACCACACCATTGTATATACCACACCATTATATATACCACACCATTATATATACCACACCATTGTATATACCACACCATTATATATACCACACCATTGTATATACCACACCATTGTATATACCACACCATTGTATATACCACACCATTATATATACCACACCATTATATATACCACACCATTGTATATACCACACCATTGTATATACCACACCATTGTATATACCACACCATTGTATATACCACACCATTGTATATACCACACCATTGTATATACCACACCATTGTATATACCACACCATTGTATATACCACACCATTGTATATACCACACCATTGTATATACCACACCATTGTATATACCACACCATTGTATATACCACACCATTGTATATACCACACCATTGTATATACCACACCATTGTATATACCACACCATTGTATATACCACACCATTGTATATACCACACCATTGTATATACCACACCATTGTATATACCACACCATTGTATATACCACACCATTGTATATACCACACCATTGTATATACCACACCATTGTATATACCACACCATTGTATATACCACACCATTGTATATACCACACCATTGTATATACCACACCATTGTATATACCACACCATTGTATATACCACACCATTGTATATACCACACCATTGTATATACCACACCATTGTATATACCACACCATTGTATATACCACACCATTGTATATACCACACCATTGTATATACCACACCATTGTATATACCACACCATTGTATATACCACACCATTGTATATACCACACCATTGTATATACCACACCATTGTATATACCACACCATTATATATACCACACCATTATATATACCACACCATTGTATATACCACACCATTGTATATACCACACCATTATATATACCACACCATTATATATACCACACCATTATATATACCACACCATTGTATATACCACACCATTATATATACCACACCATTATATATACCACACCATTATATATACCACACCATTGTATATACTATACCATTATACCTCCCATCCAGCAACTGATAGAGGGACTGCTAGCGGAGACCCCGCGTCCAGTGCCGGCCACACCCCCACCCAGAGCGACCCGTGGAGGGGCGGGGATGGGTCAGCTGTGGGTCAAGCTGGACGAGCTGAAGCGAGAGAACGACGACCTCAAACGACAACGTGCTAGATCGTCGGACGAAAAAGCCGGTTCGCCTAAATCACCAAAGTCACCGAAATTTCAAGCACCGACAGTAAGTTTTCATTTTAAATAGCATTAATTTTTACTCTTTTACAATTTTTGGTGGATTTTTGGGCAAAGTTACATTCAAATTTCGGAAGCATTTCTTTTCAAATTTACTAACTAGTCTGTTACTGAAAAGTATTGTAAAAAAAAAAACACAAAAACAAGAAGAAAAAAACTTAATAATAAATAAATAAAAAAAGAAAAGCTTATAAGAAAAACAAGGGGCAAGAGCACTATTACTAGTCGCTAAGCATACTGATAACCCAAATACCTTAATATAACTATAACCCTTATAAAATGACAATTAAATACATATTTAATTTATAATAATCTAGGGCTTTATGATAGTAAGCTACTGATTTCTTTTAATGAAAAACAAAATGTTAAATGTCGAATTTTTTCGCAAAAAAAAATAAAAACAATGCCCAAATTTTGTCACCAGCCTGGTCAGATTGAGGCCGTGACCTCTGACCTACAGCGAGCTCGGGCCGAGAACGAGACTCTGAAGAGCCAAATCGAAAAGCTGCAGAAAACACTGAAAGAACACCAGACCGTGAACTCTAACCTCAGGGACGACTGCAAGAGGTCAAAGGCCGCGCTAGAGGCTGCGCAGAAGTCGGCCATGAAGGCGCGGGAAGACACGAAGAAAATGGAAGCCAGCCTGCAGACGATTAAAGCTGAAAACGATATCTTAAAGCAGAAGTGAGTTTTCTTGTGCATCAGATTATTCTGCCTTATTTGAAACACTCGAGGGTCTCATGGTTTAATTTTTTTGATGAAGATTGATCTTTAACTCCCCGAATCTGTCAGGGTCGTCCATAAACAACGTTACACTTTTTTATGCCCCCCCCCCCCCCCCCCGCAATCTTTTTTCCCCCTTATTGTGACATACCGTCACACACAACAATTTTCCTTTAAAATGATATACTTTAACCAACCCCATCCTTCTTATGATTTTTTTCATTAAGGGAATATAACCAAGGTAGATTAATTATATATAAAATAATAATTGAGTAGTTTCCCCTTAGTACGGAAACTTCCTTTCTAGCCACAAGTTTGTAGCAAATTAAATGGACCAACATTACGTCCTGATTCATTGATCAATTTTCTTAACAATTTACATAAATATGCGTTGAGCGTTGTAAAAATGTAAGAAACAAATCCTGAAATTTACTTTAATAATACTTTATTTTTAAATGTACTACTAAAAGACATTCCTAACCCTCCCCACTTCCATCCCGCATCGACAATAAAGTCCGACACCCCCCCCCCCCCCTCTCCTACCCACATCCCGCATAATCATCAGTCCTCATCCTCCCTTTCCTCCTTCCCCCCCCCCCCCCCCCCCCCCCCCCCCCGTATTTGCTCCAAAGTTACCAATTTTTTTCTCACTTCAGCGTACAACACACCCAGTTAATGGATGTCAGAATTACAATTTCGTTTTTTTTGTTCAGGTCCTCCCAGCAGGTCCACTCGACGCCCACCAAACCACCGGTCAGCAGCCCCAAGCCCCGGGCTAGAACTGACAACAGGATGACGGAGAACATCAGCGAAAGGTGTCGACCCAGCAACATAGCAGTCGCATATACAACATTAGAATCACAGGTAGCATTGTTATACAATATTAGAATCATGGGTAGCATTGCTCTACAATATTAGAATCATGGGTAGCATTGCTCTACAACATTAGAATCACAGGTAGTATTGGTATACAACATTAGAATCACAGGTAGTATTGGTATACAACATTATACTCACAGGTAGCATTGTTATACAACATTATACTCACATGTAGCATTGTTATACAACATTATACTCACATGTAGCATTGTTATACAACATTAGAATCACGGGTAAAATTGTTATATAACACTAGAATCATGGGTAGCATTGTTATGCAACATTAGAATAAAATGTAGCATTGTTATACAACATTAGAGTCACGGGTAAAATTGTTATACAACATTGGAATCACGGGTAGCATGGTTTACTGTCCCAAAATCTTGTGTACACACTTAAATACACAAAAAACGAACAACATAATTTCATATTTTAATTGAAGCTAATGGGATATTTTAGCCGATCAAATACATATCTAATTAAATACTGGGAGTTGGCTTGAAGAGATGCCTTACTCCCCCCCCCCCCCTCCACTATCTACCCCACACCTTTTGTTCTCACTGAAGGATCTCATTAAAAAAAAAAACTCAAGATATATATAAACAATTTTCATACTGGTTTTTTTTTTAAATAAACAAGAATTTTGTTTTAATGTTGAAACCGATGGCTGTTTTATTTGTCATAATATAATCAAGAAATATTTTTAATGATGTTGAAACTGATTGTTTGTTTGTTTGTTTGTAGGAGTGGATGGATGCTAAAGAACACTTGGAGGATAACTCGTGTGAAGAAGATGTGGCCACACAGCATCTCTGTGATATTCTAATGGTAAATTATACTGGTACCTGTCTTTAAAACATGGGCCCCCTTGTCACATAACAGGGAGCCCTGTGAATCTTGGGGCCCCATGACTCTAGAGACCCTATGACTAGGGGACCTGTGACGCTAGGAATCCAGTGAATCTATTGACTCCAGGGGCCCAGTGACTCTAGAGGCTCATGACGCTAGGTGCCCATGACTCTAGGGACCCAGTGACTCTAGGGGCCCAGTGAGAGACCCAGTGACTCTAGGGGCCCAGTGACTCTATGACCCAGTGACTCTAGGGGCCCAGTGACTCTAGGGATCCAGTGACTCTATGACCCACTGACTCTAGGTGCCCATGACTCTGGGGACCCAGTGACTCTAGGGGCCCAGTGACTCTAGGGGCCCACTGCTTTGTTTAGCCCAGAGGTCCAGAGGTTTAGGTTTAAGTTTAAATGTCACTTATTATTTCTGAAAACTTCTATGCTAAATGCGACAGCATTGGATTAAAAAGCAGTGTTATCGTCAGAACTTTTTTTTTGTATGTTCAGTCATAATGAAATTGAAGTTAAATATTATTATTTTACTTTTTACTATTATATTTTTACAAAATTCCATAAAGGGAAACTAACATGTTTTTTTAAGAGTTATCTAGCTTGAGTAAACATTAATGTTTGATTATTTAAAATTAAATTATTCCCCAACACAGAGTTCATACAGTGCCAGCTGTGCAGTGTTAAAAAGTGTTGAAAAGATCATAGCCTACATCCTTGCCAACCCCACATCAGCAGTAAGTTATAATTCCTAATTAAATTAACTTATGTCAGTTGTAATTTGTATTTATCTCCAGTATGTTTTATAATTTTTACTCTCATAACTGTGGTCAGGATCAAATAGAACACCAAGCAAGGGGGGAAAATGTTAGCTGTACCATAAAATAGTGGACCAAACTTATTTCAGTTAACAATGTTAGTAGACAGATCAGTCATTTAACATCTCTCTGTATTTGTACCATAAAATGTTGGACTAAACTTATTTCAGTTAACAATGTTAGGAGACAGACAAGTCATTGATCATCTCTCTGTATTTGTACCATAAAATGTTGGACTAAACTTATTTCAGTTAACAATGTTAGGAGACAGACAAGTCACCGAACAGCTCCCAGAAGACTTGGCTGACCTGGTGTGTCAGAAGCTGAGAGCCAGTGCTGACAACATAAGCACCAGAGACTTGAGTGAGGTAAGTCCTTCGATTCGATCTACATTTTAATAAACATTTTAAAGGGAAATAAATATGCGGTACAAAAAGAGGGAATATTTAATGGGTTCAGTCCCTTTGACCAAAAGTGATGGGGAAAAAATGTTTTATACCTTTTAATAACTACCAAACTACCAATTTTGAAGTAAATTGATACCCAAGTTTTAGAAACAATGGAATGGGGATTCATGTTTAGCTTTGATCTTTAGCATATCTCTAACCTTTATTTCTTTAATTTTAAGTCTTTTTGTTTACTATTATTGTTTAGCTATTTTTCTTTGCAGTTATTCAAGAAGTGGGATTTATTTTATTTTATTAGTAACACTTTATTATATAAATCTTTTTTGGTGTGCAGCTTAATAAAAATATTTGACATATTCTCTAAAGTATTACCTTAATTAAGAATGTAAAAAAGAAAACTTGGAAGCCAAAAACAATATTTTAAAAATATTGTAAATAATTCCTTTTTTGGTTTGCAGCTTAATAAAAATATTTGACATATTCTCTAAAGTATTACCTTAATTAAGGATGTAAAAAGAAAACTTGGAAGCCAAAAACAATATCATAAAAAAATAAATAAATAATTCCTTTTGGTTTGCAGGTGACCAAAAGTAAATGCAACTGCTCCGCCTTGCTGTCCTCCACCTGGTCCAGCAACTCCATACAGAAGTACGTCTCCGAGTGTGGGGCTCTCACCTGGCAGATGGCCATCCAGAGGCCGGCCATGAAGCTCCTGGTCACAGACGCAAGGTTTGACGAGTCCAAACACAAACTTTGGTGGTCGTGCAACCAGGCGCAGGCCAGGAAGATTGACTATTTTATCTGGCCAGTTTTGTATGATTACGAGGGAGGGAACTTGATGGTCAAAGGCTGCGTACATGCTAGCTGAGGGAGAGAACTTGATGGTCAAAGGCTGCGTACATGCCAGCTGAGGTGTCCCGTTGTTGTACTGTGTACAGTTCAAGCCGTGCAATGTATATGTAAGATCAATATCACTGTAAGATGTGTAAGAAATATCCTACATTACAGCACATGACTTATGCACCAACCATGTCTAATTGTGCCAAAAAGATTTTGTATTGTTGAAAACATTAAAATATTCAATCAAACTTCAAAGCTCTGTAATGCAAATATTTTGTACAAAAATATTTTTTATCTAATAAATTGTGTAAATATGAAAAAAAAATTCTGCTTTTCTTTAACAAAATGTGCTTGTACTGTACAAAGATTTTAAGTTTGCGATATTATTAAATCATTGATTTAAGTTAGGTAATTGGTTTGTCTAGGTAAGTTACAGGTTGTAATACTGTTGGGGGCTTATAACTGGCGTTCCCTCTAAAGTGCGTGGCTATGCAGTTGTAAACCAGTGGCACTATCAATGTTATCTAACACAACATTTTATTACCAATTTCAGAGCACAGCATAAACATAATAGGAATACTTGTTGCACATTAGCTTTCACCCTTTGAACCAATGATGGTTTTGTCTTCTACTATAACTGAACAAGAATAAGACATTTGACCATGCCACAGAAATAAGCAAATGATCTGAATTCTTTCTCAAGTCCTCAGAACAGATTTATAACATAATAATATGACTGTTCTAATTACCCCTTGTGCAGTCTAGGGCCTCAACCATTTCACTTTATCCAGTCACCTGTTGTGTAGTTTAGATGTAGGGAAAAGTAAAAGCAATTGTATTTTATGATAGCTTCACCATCAAAATGTTTCCTAAGGCTAGAGAAACAGATCAACTCAGCGTAATAAACCCAACCAACTACAGTGAGAGTGAAATCATTTTATAGCAACAAAAAGCTGGCTCATTTGTACTGGAGATTTTTTAAACCCTGAGTCACCACAAGATAGCTGACATTTTGATACATGTAGCAGTGTGGGGGTGCAACATGTCAGACAAGCCATCAGAAACTGCTTATCTAAGGGGAATGCTACAGGAAATGGAAAGTTTTTCTCTCCAGTAATTTTATGATCACTATCACAAGTAAAACAGTAAGAAAATATAAAACCAACACAAAACAGCTTAGAATAGAAAAAAAAAAGTTTAATACAAAAGATAGAGCTTAAGTTAGGTACCACATTTTCATAAAGAGCACAATGTGCGTTAAGTCTAGTTTTGTTCTTCATAGTTGTCATCATCAGCCAGAGCAATAATTTTAACATCTTTTAAAACCAAATTTTCTAAAAACTCCAATGCCACTCTAGATTTCAACAATTTAAAATAAAAATGCTATACTGATCACTTTTTAAATTTTATAAATAGAATTGATCGGAGCTTCACCCTTACAAAAACATGCACAAAATGCATTCAAATAAAAGGCAGTATATTATTATTATTGGCATATAGTAAATAAAAAAAATTCACTTTAAGCTTAGATTTGTATAACAAGTAATAGAGTCCCTTTTATAGAGGAAGAATGGAAATTATATGGATATGTTATATAAGAAGACTGAAAAAAATGTACATTTTTAATATAATGCCATAACATTTCTTTTAAGTTTTGGAAAAAAAATAATGTTTGAGTTGCCTCATGCATAGTAAATTTTTAATAATTTTAAATGCTTTAATGGTGAAATATGTTTACCACTAGTAATTACATTAGCACCAACAGTGAAATCAAAACAATAGTTTACTTAACCAACAAATTAATATAAAAATTGGAGGAAATATCATACATTTATGTTTAGTTTTTAAGTTTAAATTTGTGGAATGTTAATTTATGGTCTGCTATAAAATTCGTTTCAAAACATAGGGTCGAAAAAAGTTACAAACTTTTCTAAAACAAAAAATTATCCACACTATTGGTGATTATAACTTCTAAATTTGGAAAGCTAAGTGATTGATAGGGGCAATAGAGTTTAGTTAGAGAAACAACTTCTACCTCAACACCCAGTTATTTCCAGTGATTGAGATAACCTAATGTGCAAGGAGTTATTGTTCTTGTGTACTAAGTGATGGGAAAGGGGAGGCTATGCTAGTCAAACAGGACAAGTGAGTAGTAGGCACTTATTTACAAGCTTGTCTTAACAACACATTTTCTGTACAGAGTCAACAACCAAACAGTCAATAACTCACACTAATCCATTAAAAACTTATATAACAAAATTAAACTGATCCATTAATAATTTATATGTCATCCAAATTTTTATAAAACCCACCTAAAATTCTAGGAGTCAAAAAATCCAAAAAAATAAAACAAAATTTTAACAAGTTTTTCCTGGGACTAATGAGTTAACTGTTTGTTTTTTGACATGGACATGACCATCAGTTGATGATAAATATGGTAAGAAAAACGGCCTGCTGGAAATGACACTGTGTACAATGACAAATAGTGTGCACTACGACTAAAGTGATCAGCACATATCTTAATTAGCATAAATAGTATCAAATTTCTACATTAGATAATCACCTAAGCTAATTATTTTTAAAGTTTTGTTTAGTAATCCTCAATTAATCCTAACACTAAGCTTTTAAATATAATTTTAATGCATTATTCTGTGATCAATCTAAAATGGATGCTCTGAAAAATAATTTACCCTAATTTTAATTTCTAATGCGAAAAAATTAGTTAAGTTAAATTCAGAAAAAAAAAATCCTTTGATGTAGCTAGAATTTCATCGTAGAGGCAAGTCTCTGTCCTACATCATCATGTACACAGTGCAGTAGATGGTACAGCCTGCTGCCGATTCTCTTTACAAAGTCTTTGTAACAAAGCTGCTAGAAATATGGACTGGATATGTTTCTATTTGGAACTTTTCTTCTCTGCAAGAATCTCTGGAGAATTATAAAAAATATCAATGTGTAAAATCAAGAAACAAAACCTGCTGCTATAAAGTATCCACACAATGGGTATCATTAGGACATAGATAAGTAGTTACTAAGACATGTTCACCTAAACTTGGTTTATAAGTACTTTTTTAAAATCAGCTGATTACTTTTACGGCTGAGACAGAAAATAATAAAAGTGTTGAGGTACCTTCTTTAGTTGGCAGAGGATTCTTCTCATCTGTCTTAGCAGGCTTCAGCTGGTTCTTCTCAAACCCTTCAATAGAGTTACGCAGCTCCGTCTCCTTTTTCTCTTGATTAATTGCTGTTTGATTAGATCATTTAATTTCTCTTGATTAATTGCTGTTTGATTAGATCATTTAATTTCTCTTGATTAATTGCTGTTTGATTAGATCATTTTATGTCTCTTGATTAATTGCTGTTTGATTAGATAATTTAATTTTTCTTGATTAATTGCTGTTTGATTAGATAATTTTATGTCTCTTAATTAATTGCTGTTTGATTAGATCATTTAATTTATCTTGATTAATTGCTGTTTGATTAGATCATTAATTGCTGTTTGATTAGATCATTTAATTTTTCTTGATTAATTGCTGTTTGATTAGATAATTTAATTTCTCTTGATTAATTGCTGTTTGATTAGATAATTTTATGTCTCTTGATTAATTGCTGTTTGATTAGATAATTTAATTTTTCTTGATTAATTGCTGTTTGATTAGATAATTTTATGTCTCTTGATTAATTGCTGTTTGATTAGATCATTTAATTTTTCTTGATTAATTGCTGTTTGATTAGATCATTAATTGCTGTTTGATTAGCTAATTTAATTTTTCTTGATTAATTGCTGTTTGATTAGATCATTTAATTTCTCTTGATTAATTGTTGTTTGATTAGATAAATTAATTTTTCTTGATTAATTGCTGTTTGATTAGATAATTTAATTTCTCTTGATTAATTGCTGTTTGATTAGATAATTTAATTTCTCTTGATTAATTGCTTTTTGATTAGATAATTTAATTTCTCTTGATTAATTGCTGTTAGATTAGATAATTTTATGTCTCTTGATTAATTGCTGTTTGATTAGATAAATTAATTTCTCTTGATTAATTGCTGTTTGATTAGATCATTTTATTTCTCTTGATTAATTGCGGTTTGATTAGATCATTTTATTTACTATAATCAAATGGTTTCATTAATTGCTGTTTGATTAGATAATTTTATTTACTATAATCAAACGGTTTCATTAATTGCTGTTTGATTAGATAATTTAATTTACTATAGTCAAATGGTTTCATTAATTGCTGTTTGATTAGATCATTAATTGCTGTTTGATTAGATCATTTTATTTCTCTTGATTAATTGCTGTTTGATTAGATCATTTAATTTTTCTTGATTAATTGCTGTTTGATTAGATAATTTTATGTCCCTTGATTAATTGCTGTTTGATTAGATAATTTAATTTTTCTTGATTAATTGCTGTTTGATTAGATAATTTTATGTCTCTTAATTAATTGCTGTTTGATTAGATCATTTAATTTATCTTGATTAATTGCTGTTTGATTAGATCATTAATTGCTGTTTGATTAGATCATTTAATTTTTCTTGATTAATTGCTGTTTGATTAGATAATTTAATTTCTCTTGATTAATTGCTGTTTGATTAGATAATTTTATGTCTCTTGATTAATTGCTGTTTGATTAGATAATTTAATTTTTCTTGATTAATTGCTGTTTGATTAGATAATTTTATGTCTCTTGATTAATTGCTGTTTGATTAGATCATTTAATTTTTCTTGATTAATTGCTGTTTGATTAGATCATTAATTGCTGTTTGATTAGATCATTTAATTTCTCTTGATTAATTGTTGTTTGATTAGATAAATTAATTTTTCTTGATTAATTGCTGTTTGATTAGATAATTTAATTTCTCTTGATTAATTGCTGTTTGATTAGATAATTTAATTTCTCTTGATTAATTGCTTTTTGATTAGATAATTTAATTTCTCTTGATTAATTGCTGTTAGATTAGATAATTTTATGTCTCTTGATTAATTGCTGTTTGATTAGATAAATTAATTTCTCTTGATTAATTGCTGTTTGATTAGATCATTTTATTTCTCTTGATTAATTGCGGTTTGATTAGATCATTTTATTTACTATAATCAAATGGTTTCATTAATTGCTGTTTGATTAGATAATTTTATTTACTATAATCAAACGGTTTCATTAATTGCTGTTTGATTAGATAATTTAATTTACTATAGTCAAATGGTTTCATTAATTGCTGTTTGATTAGATAATTTAAGTTACTATAATCAAATGGTTTATTAGAAGCACAATAGGTTATTTATTGTTGATCAAATGTTTAGCCTTGGAAATCAAGATGTTAATTATTTTATATATATTTTCACTCAATAAATATATTAAACAAAGATTGAAATCCTACTCATTAAATATTAGAATACTAGAGAACAGAGTATTGCTTTACTACACAAATAATACACACATACATATTTAGTTCATTACTTCTAGCTTAGAAGGGGGGGGGGGGGGCTGGTAAACCACCACATCATTGCGTTTGACAGGTATCAACATAACTAAATGGGTCCCTACCTTCAGTAGGTGGCAATGGATTTTTCTCCTGTGTTTCAGCATGTTTGAGGCTAGTTCTCTTAAAAGAATTGATTGAGTTCTTCAGTTCCTGTTCCTGCTTCTCTTGAACTATCACTGTTAGGGGAGGAAATAAAATGTAATTTATATTAAAATCATTTCATGGAAACTATCAAACATGGTGCTGAAATCCTGGGATCACATTACACATGCAAAAACAGCCAAGAAAAAAAAATGTAAGTTTTATAATACAAATTTAAATGAAGTTTGAGTTGCATTTTAATAATTAGAAGAACATGTTTATTGACTAAGTTCAAAATTGTTTTTCTGCAGGAAAATTTGAAACCATATTTTTTAAAATTATGTGTTACATTTTACTTAGAAAATAGCAGATTTTAAAAAATGTCTTAGTTATCAAGTTAACAAGAATGGAATGTTTCTTGGTTATACAGATGAACTAGCAAAGAAAACAAAATGGTGAGACACAAGGGGAGATCAGTCCAACCATCAAACAAAAAAAAAGTGACGACATCAAGCACTATGTCAAGTCCTCATCTAAAATAGCAGATTTTAAAAAATGTCTTAGTTATCAAGTTAACAAGAATGGAATGTTTCTTGGTTATACAGATGAACTAGCAAAGAAAACAAAATGGTGAGACACAAGGGGAGATCAGTCCAACCATCAAACAAAAAAAAAGTGACGACATCAAGCACTATGTCAAGTCCTCATCTAAAATTACTGGCAGCTGATTATTTGTTTTGTTTATATTTTCTTTTTAACAGTGAAATGTTAGGATTAATTATAAGTATGAGTTGCAGCAACAAAGTGCTTTAAAAGTTAAAGACAGCAGATGCTTAAGGGATGGTGCACATATGTAACATGAATGAGCTTGAAGATTTGGGGAAGGGGGCGGACTTTTATATTGTAATATTTCTGCAACATTTGAGATATTAATAGTTAGCTTTTCATCAGAACTGGCTTATATGATGATTTCAAATACTTTATTTTAAGGATAAGTTGTTGCAGTAACTGATCGGTTGTTTGATTTGGTGGGGGGCATGACAGGGATGATCTTTATAAATATCAATTTTTATTAAGGTAGGGGGTGGATAAGGGTTATGTTAATATGTGCACAATCCTTAAGGTATTTTTATGTTTAAATCAAATAAATTATATTTTTAATCTCTAGTTCGATTAATAGCAATCAAACAGCTGACCGAAACTGACTGTTTAAACTGACACTAGAGGCTGATTTTTAAAGTTACTGAATATGTCTGTAGAGGTGGGTATTGAGAAGGAGGGGATGGGTAGGTTTAACAGAAGATGAAACTTTGGCAATAGGAAAATAGAAATTCTTTAAGTTAAATAAAAGGATTTTAATCTATTTTTGATAATTGCAATTTTTAAAAATTAATTAAATCTAATAAATGTAACTAAAAATCAAAATAATTAAAATTGTATCCATAATAAAAGCATGCACAGAATGAAAGAAATATTTAATCATACAATGGATCTTAATACTAATTTTAAACAAAAACGTGTGGAAGATGCTAGAAGTTACAATGATTACGTGACAAAATATAAACATTCTTGGTTAGTTTCATCTGAAAAGTACCTTAGTATTTGTAAACAATATACATTTATTTTAAGTAATCATATTATGTCCAGATTGGGCAACTGGCTAACATTAATTTAAAAAAAATAAAACAAACTAGCTGTTTAAGATTAAAACTCTACTGATGGGATGAATCTGAAATTAAGTGTCAAGGTGCAAGGTAGCAAACAATGAGTCAAGCAAATGAGGGTCAAGCTTTGGGTTCAGAGGTTATACCATCTTCTGTGGGCAGGATGTCCTTGACCTCAGTTTCAGTGTGGTGGAGATCTTCCTTATGGAAAGACCCAATTCTCTCCCTTAACTCTTGTTCCGTTTTTTCATGTTGGATATCTAAGCCAAACCAGCAAAAATCCAGCAATTAGAACAAAATACAATAAATTGATCACACTTTCATTAACTGGTTCAGAATGGGATGTTTGTAATAAAAGATTAAGAAATATAGTCCAGAATAGCATACATAATCAGTTCTAATAAGAAACAAATATATTTAATTTGCTTTGATGCCCCAAAACAACCTTTGAAAGAGAATGTTGAGTAAAATTAAAGATTAAAGACTTGATGATATTTGTTATAACATTTGTATATAATTTAAATTATATATGAAACAAACAAAACTGGGAGGGAGTTGGGGGGGGGGGGGGGTTAACTATCTTTACTGAATTAGGAAAAAATTGAATGTGCAGTTGAGCTTAAAGAAAAAAGAGTGCGTTGGACTGACTTTTGTTGCTTCTTTTGTTACGATGTTAGTAAAGAAAGATATACAATTTGGAAACTAAAGTTCTGCACTTTTTCTTAAAATATTTAAGCACTGTGTTCTTTGAAATCAAATCGGAATCTTATTGATAAAAGACAAATTTATAACCCAGTGGCGTAGCCAGGATCGTCTCAAGGGGGGGGGGGGGGGGGGGTTCCAATTTTTACCCGGGGACAAACTTTCGATTTGCACCCCCCCCCCCCCCTCAAACTTTTGATTTGCACCCCCCCCTCAGACTTTCGATTTGCACCCCCCCCCTCAAACTTTCGATTTGCACCCCCCCCCCCTCAAACTTTCGATTTGCACCCCCCCTCATACTTTTTATATATACCGAGGGGTCTATGGGGGGTTATGACCCCCCCTAACCCCCCCCCCTGCCTACGCCACTGTTATAACCAATTATTAACTAGGACCCTAGTTTAAGGTTTGTGATGGTCAACAAGTGGATGAGAGAATCAGTCTGGTGTGTTGTGAAGGAATGAACACAACAAATGTTTAATCTCTATAGTAACACACATACATCAACACAACCATGCACCATCAATGTGGCAAGCAATCTTTAAGCAGGGCTCTGAAATCTGGCCTATCCTTAAACAACCATTAGTGACCTTCACCTTCTTGCTCCTAACAGTGACATTTATTTTTTAACACAGCTGTGTGCCATGTCTGAAAATAACCTCAGACCCTAAACATGGATGGTTTGGGGAATTTATTTATTGCCTATGTGGTGAACTGGCCAGGCTAATCTATTTTTGTCTGTAGGGGATGAAGTTAACGAATGTGCCAATTAGTTTCAGACCCCTGCTTAAAGTGTGGGGGATGAGATGGGAGAGAATGTACAGGAGGTGACATGATGGAACAAAGGGAATGTACCATCCTCTGATGGCAGAACTAGCTTCACAGCTGTTTCAGTGGGGTGAAGGTCTTCCACATGGAAAGATCCAATTCTCTCCCTTAGTTCCTGTTCAACTTTTTCATGCTGTATGTCTGCACATTGCAGTAAAAAAATTTTAATCATACAGATTTAAATTGTAAAATTTTACAGATATTCCTACACATCTGTTACTAAAAAAATGTTATGAATTTTCTTTAAAAAATTGTTTTGGATAAACTGGTTATAAAAGGCCTGGCTTTATAATCAGAAATAAAATTTAACAAAAACTGTCCATGTCAAATTTAGCTGTGATTAGATAGTAAGGATGTATTTACATTTAATACTTAATAATAATAATAATAATTATTATTATAGACAAATTTTGAATTAACATGTATATTTCTACTAAATTTAACTACAATAAACATTTTTTTCAAACAGGTTAGAAATAAAAATTAGTTTAGTGCACACAATGTTTTTTACATTGTAAGTCAGTTAATTCATAACATATAGTGATATACTTTGTTATTAGACAGACAACATGGTGTGTATCACATCCCTGAAGACTTTCACTGGCAGATAATACATTTTAATAATCTAATAAAAACATGAATTCAAATTTACAAAACAATTTCAACTTTAGTTCTACAAATCCATCACCCAATGTTAGTTGACTCATCAAATTGTTCAATAGCGCCAGGGGTTATAAGTCAAAAAAATATTCAACTTTAAAATTCAACAGATTTGGAAATAGAACTTCAGACATATTACGTAACTCAAGTGCTGGTGGATTAAGTGCTGGATAAACAACTGACTGCTCTGGTTATAGGACACACAAAAACTGTATAAAATGTATTTAGATTGAATCAATACAATACTTCGTTCCATAAAAAGAATGAAATACTACCTGGTTGTAGTCATGTTGAAAAAAGTATACATTTTTTTAAAATTCTGCATCTAATTTTATAATTATTTTAAGGGTTAATGAAATAATTTTAGTAGTTGTATTTTAGGGACAATAGAACTGAAATACAATGGTATCATAAAATATTAAGTTTTCAGTTAAGAGAAAAACTACACAAAACAAAAACGTGCAGAGATGAATTTCTCACACATCACTCAACTAGTGCAGCTAATACATTTGTGAGTAGAAGCAAACAATCTGTTTAATGAGGCTAGTAACTGTGTACCCTCTTCGGAAGGCAAGACAACTCTCTCCACTGTCTTGATGTGGTTTAAGTCCCCTTTATGAAAAGAGCCAATTCTTTCACGTATTTCCATTTCTACTTTTTCATGCTGGATTTCTGTCATCAAGATTTGATCATGCATTAACAAACAAAAAAAAGCCAGCTTGGCTCTGATACACATCAGATTCACACAAAAATGTGTGCCTGCCCTTGAAGCTGATATTAAGGAAGTTATCCACATTAAAATATGATTATCCCCCTTTGTAGAGAAAAGATTTGTTTGAAGCTAAAAAAGAAATTATTAATGGCGCAGTAAATATTTTTAACTGCTACAAAAACCCATGCAATGAAAAGACAAAAAAGGGAGCTTACCATCAGGGCTAGGGAGGACAATCTTCTCGTCTGTGCTGGTGTGTTTCAGCTGGTCTTTGTTGAAGGTCCCAATCCTCTCTCTTAACTCGGCCTCTGTCTTCTCCTGGTTAATCACTGCAATTAGAAAACATTCACTCATCAAACACTGTGGTCACAGCAACAACACACACAGGGTAGTACATTTAAAGCCTGAAACTTCTAGAAAGTTAAATAATAAACACTGCTGACAACATGCTGCTTCTAAATATACATCCTGATACATGTGTAGAACATTTCTAAAAACCCAAAACAGATGGTATTTAAAATGGAAAAATGTTTCTCTGTGGAATAGTTAAGACCACCGGAAGGTAGTTGACACAGGCTGGACTTCATAAATGAAACATTATAAACATGAGAAACAAAATTGGTGGGAGAAATGATGAACTAACTATTCAACAAATAAATGGGTGAATAATCTGCACTATCACTAATCCTACAGACAAAGAGTCAGTGTAAATTGTAGGATGGATGATAGTAAAGGTGATCATTGCTACTGAGGAAAGTTATTCATATTAAAAATATTCAACAATAAATAAAATGACTCTCAAGTATCAGATCAAATGACAAAACATGAGACATTCCTCAAAATTAAATAACTCAACATATTTTTTTTAATCTTGCGAAATATTTAACCTCTTTTAAAATAAAATTGTAAACTAGGAAGAAAATTAAATAAAAAAAACAGTGTAAGGTCAAAATAATGTGTGTTTCTTAAACTGATGCAGGAAATGATTCAGTCTTGTAATATAATACAATAACAGTTCCCAGCAGTATAAAAACAAAGCCAATCTTTATAATAGGATACAAAGTTTTACATAGATAAACAGATGAATCATTCAGGCTAGATAGGTTTCAGGATGTGAAAGACAAAGATGACCATTCTTTATGTATTCATCACCAAGCTGTGTACATGTCTAGATTGGTAGATTCAAATTAAACTCAAGTCCTTGCCCACTGTGTGCAGAAATACAAGTCATGCTAAATAGGGAAAGTGCTCTGTCACTATAAAAAACATGTCTGTTGGGAAATACAAGACAATCTATCGAATTGGAAGAAAGATTGTCACTAAATGATAATTCTGTTTGGGAAATATATGGTAACCTATCTCTTGCTAAATGGGGTAAAAGATTCTGTCAATTAAAAAAAAATCTCTTCTTGGAAAAACTAAGTCAAAGTATCTAATAGTCATGCTAAATAGGGAGAAAGATTCTGTCACTAACAAAATACTTTTGTAGGAAAATAAAAGGCAACCTATCTCATGAGCATGCATGCTAAATAGGGAGAAATATTCTGTCACTAACAAAATACTTTTGTAGGGAAGTATAAGGCAACCTATCTAATAAGCATGCATGTTAAATAGGGAGAAAGATTCTGTCACTAAAAAATACTTCTGTTGGGAAATTCAATGCCTCTTGTACAAAGTCATGCTAAAATGAAATAAATTTTATCTTGTGTTTTAGTAAATCAAGTTTACCCCACAACCATGCACGAATGGAACTCAAAACTAAGGATACATTCTGATCACTTAAGAAAACAAAATTAAATCCATTAAAGAATAGTCATGCTATTGTAGAGTGTGCATCAAATGAATATGTGCTCAATCCAATCCATCTGTAACAACACAAACCAGAAATAGAAGAATAACTAGCTGAATATGAATTACATAGAAAGCGCCATATGGAGTAGATAAGAATGCGGAACATTCCCTTGAGATCTGGGACCTACCATCCTGTGTGGGCAAACAACCTTTCTCCAGGGACTCGGCTCGCTTTAGACTTGTCCTCTTAAATTTGTTGATGTTCTCTATGTGTTCCTGGTGTTGTTTCTCCTCCGCTATGACTACATGCAGACACACAATCAACATTCAGCTCAGGTCACTAGCTAACTGATACAGGACTTCCTTCAGTTAATGCCCCACTGTCTTTAACATCAATTCTTTACATTTGAACACAGATGTATCCAATACCCCACATTTAATACTAATACTACCTCTTTTCAAAGAAATTTTAATGTAATACCCGAACCCAATCTATCTTTAACAATTATTCCTTAAATCTGACATGAAATATAACAAGTGCCCAACATTAATTATATACTGAATCAACTTCTATTCAAAGATACATTTAAAACATTTATCTAATAATGTGCATTAACTTTATACTAAATCAACAGCATACAGATTTAACAACATGAAAATATTTTTTCATTACACTGAAAATTAATGGTATTTTAAATACATTTGAACCATGTTTAATATTAAATATTTGTTAAAAACAAAAAGTTTTGTCAGAACTGGTTTTATTTAGCTCAATAATAACAGTTTTATCAGTAAAACTTAGTCATGCGATTACTTCAGAATAAACAACAACAAAAGATAGGACCAACATGGAGAAGTTGTTAACATTTATAACTTGTCAACAATGGCTGCTAATGATGTACTAAATGACAAGATTATGATAGGCTGATGATACAGTGGTACTGAAGCAACAAGTTTATGGATACACAATATGGTGTGAATACTGAATACGTAGCCTACACTGTGTAGCACCTGATCCCTTCAAGCTCATCTTTAGTCTTAATGACATCAGGAGTGTATAGGATAATTAACCCCCAATTAACCCCGTCATCTTGCAGGAAATTCGCATTTTAAAAAGAATTATTGGTAAACTAGTAATATCAAATTATGGGCGCAAATTAAGTTCAATCAAGTAACTGTGTTTTCTTATTTTAACAGTTTCTTTTTTAAATATTGGAAAACCAAAAGAATACCTAATTCAGCAACAAGGGGGCAAAGCTGTATAAGGTACAGACTAGATAAGCAGTTTAAAATCTATGTGGTTTAGTATTCACTAGGTGAGAATGGGTTAGAGCAAGGGGGCAGAGCTGTATAAGGTACAGACAAGATAAGCAGTTTAAAATCTATTTGGTTTAGTATTCACTAGCTGAGAATGGGTTAGAGCAAGGGGGCAGAGCTGTATAAGGTACAGACAAGATAAGCAGTTTAAAATCTATTTGGTTTAGTATCCACTAGCTGAGAATGGGTTAGGTTGCAAAATGTCAAACCAACCACCAGCCAGCTCACACTGTAACATTCTACACAGGTGAGTCACCAGCCACACCACAGCTTGTGGTCAATCCCAGGTCATACACTATTGTGTGTGTGTACCCTGCTATCAATAGTTTAGAATACAGATACTGATAGCTGGTACACAGCTGGGAACTGTAGTGCTGATCCAGCGCTCCAAGCTGATACAAAAGATAATTCTAGAAATGCAAGCTGGTACACTACTTAATTCTGATGAACGTACAGATTTTAAATCATTTTAATGCCACAGATGCATCTCTATCCCAGATTATTTTTTGTACTAATAGGCTTTTATTTAGGAGTGAAGTAAGATTGTAACAATTGGTTACCTCCCATGTAGCAGTGACAAATGGTTACCTCCCATATTGTGTGAACTAACTAACTCAGATTTAATGACAACACAGCAGGGGATATAGCCCAGAAGTATTGACTACAACAGCAGAAATGCTACTATTTAGTAGTGGAAAAAGTTGATTTACAACAAGCAAATAATTAACTACATGCATCTAAGTGAAAACAAAATTTCAATTAGTTTTTGTTAATGATTAGAAAACAATGCCAAATGTCGGCTTATTAGTGAAAGGCGTAAAGTCGGGTTTAGAAAACTTGTTAATGTTTACACAGAGTGCACCAAAAGCTGTGGTCACTCCAGTCACAAGATTTGGAGAATTCCATTATCTCAATCTCTAGAGAGATATCTTTTGTTGATTAAAATACAATATTTTTTTTGCTATCTGTTAAATATTCCTCTTAGTATCTAGACCAGTGAAATTATAACTGCTAAAATTCATGTTTTTTAATCAGCTTTATAATTTTATAACTGCATTTCTTTAATCTAAAATAGTGCAGCTCAATTGGGATCACTGCGTTGCTGTTCATTTTAAAATGAAAATTGTGGCCAAAAAAGTCATTTAAAAATATAAATGCAGACACGCCTTAGACAAAAGTGCTAGACTGGAGTGACCGTATCAGCACGGGAAATGGCACAACTCACTGCCAGTGTCAGGTAGAATCCCCCGCTCTTTAGTGCGTGTGCGATTGAGGCAGGTGGTATCAAACTGGTTGACCCCATCGATCAGATCTTTGTGGAACCGCTCCTGAGCGACATCTACAGCATGCGTCATTCAAGGGAGAGAAAATTAAAACATCCACAAGGCTACACGGTTGAGCAAACAAGGCACCAGAACAAATCCACACAAGAGGGTTAGCATTCAATAATCTTACAAGCAAATTTTTAGATTTAAGCAACTAGCTCTAGACACCATGATTGGCAAAATAAAAAGATAAATGCAAAACACATTTTCCAAATAAAATGTACACAAAGTAGCTTAATGTTTTCTTTCTAAGGGAAATAACTGACACCAAGGAAAGGATTATACAGCTAATCTTTTATAGCTCTGCCCCTAAATGTTTGCTCCTTAATAATCAATGTGGTAGAACTAGAAATCCTCTCCCCATTAACTAAAGACAACTAGCTAGATGTTGGATAACAGCATGCACATTCACAGATGTATGCAGCTTTTGACATTTGGAGGGGGGGAAAATATGCTTATTAAGGGTAGTTATAAAAAGGATGCCTAGTTAGTGGTGTGGTGAAATTACTTGAAATGTTGGGGGTGAAGTGAAGATAATAAGCTGTTGTGATGAGTTGACTTCTTTAAAGGAAACAGATGGGAGCTAAACACAAGGGGTGTGTAAGGGTTGAGGTAACCACCGTCAGGTGTGTAAAGGTTGAGGTAACCACTGTCAGGTGTGTAAAGGTTGAGGTAACCACCATCAGGTGTGTAAGGGTTGAGGTAACCACCATCAGGTGTGTAAGGGTTGGCTGGCAAGTCAGGTGTGTAAGGGTTGAGGTAACCACCATCAGGTGTGTAAGGGTTGAGGTAACCACTACACTGTCTAGACATGTGAGGGTTAACCTAACCATACAGGTATAAGCAAGAAGATTTTCAACCTAACGCTGAGGGAAGTGGGTTAGGCTCCCATAATCTTGAAAAGAGGGGAGGGGTTAAATAGATATCATTGTAACGATACAGCTACATTTAACAAAAAGACAAACATTTAGGTTCTGCTACAAACATAGATGTTAAAATATAATTATGCTTGTTAATGACCATTCTTCTGCCATTAAAATAACTTAATGCTGGTAAATCCAAAGTTGGACGTTAAAAAGGACTAGGTTCTGCTATAAACATGGTAGCTAAAACAACTGAATGATGGTAAATGACCAAAACAAGGACATTAAATTAAGTGAATGACGCTGGTAAATGACAAAACATGGACGCTAAAATAACTGAATGACGCTGGTAAATGACCCAAAATGGACATTAAATTATGTGAATGACGCTGGTAAATGACCAACCTTCGGCTGAAGGGAGTGGGTTCTTCTCCTCTGGCTTGACATGGTGCAGGGTGCTGGCGTCAGTATTGCTGATCTCGGCCAGGAGGGCGGTGGGGGCTGTAGGAGTCTTGGACATGGCTGATTACTTCCTGGGTGATTACAAGTTAGACCTGTCAAACAGAGAACACATTTCTTTTATCACTTTATTCTAAACAAACAGAGAACACATTTCTTTTATCACTTCATCTAAAGCGACACCAGTGTAAGATAAGTTCTAAGACAAAATAAGTCAAGGTAAAAGTAGGATTTACGAACTTTAGGGTATGGTTTAAAAATGTTGAGAACTACTGCTGTAATTTACAGCTAGGTAAGGTTTATTTCTTTTACATTGCCCCCCGCACGCAATGTTCAACTTGGCAGAAATGAAAAACCTGGCCATTTTACTCAAGTCATAAAACAAATCTGATGACATCAAGGCCTTGTTTTAGAAAGCCATAAATGTTTTCTTCGAATTAACCATACAACCAAGTTATCGTGTAGTTATAGTGGATGAGTGATTATGTCTCGTACAAGATTGTCAGGAGATATAGAATACAGAAGCTCTTCAATCTACTGAGGTAGAAGTATTGCTAGAACACACTACAGCTAAATTTACAGACTGTACATTATTGCTTCCTGATTAAAACAAGAGAGCATTCCTCAAAATAGCCTTTGCTTTTTACAATAAACCGATCTATGTAGAAATGTTTATACTTCCTACTAGAGTGTGTGTGTGAAGATCAAACATGATTTCTAGAAAATTATGATTACTGAAAAATACAGGCCTAGTTTAATTACTATTTCTCAAACAGCATACCAACAAGTTTTGAAAAGTTGATAATGGCAAAAAGTGAAACTTATCCAATACTAGCACAAACCCAAGTCTGAACATTAACCCTAAATGTATAATTCTCTGGGACAAAAAGCTGAATATGTTTAAAAAATGTAATGCAAGGAAAGGATTAATCTTTTCTATGATGAAGGAAGTTGTTCACAACACCTGCAGATGTGGCAGGATGGTGAAACCTGGTCACAGAGATTGAAACAGACAGGATGGTGAGACACAGGGATGTTTAAGTAATTTACTTCCAATTTCCTTGTTTGGTTCCACACATTTTTAAAAAAGGAGTGTGTGCATACAATAAATCAAGAGATCCCTGACACGAGGCAATAACACAGTTAATGGTCAAATATTGCTCAATGGTAACATGATTAGGAAAGAAGACCGACTAATAAAAGAATTTTTAAATTATTGCTCAATGTTTCAAACTTAATATCCAACATCTAGTTTTCTTAAATTTTTAGAAAATAGACTATGTTCTCCTTGATTAGCTAGCCATACACACACATTTGTTGGGGTTAAGCTGTCAATGTTGATAACCATTCTTCAAGATTCTGACTTTATGACCTGCTAAGTTTAGAGGTATGGGGTTGATAAGGGTCTCAGTATCAGAAAAAAGTGGGTATGACTCATTAGAATTTACCTTGTAGTATTTATTCAGTTTTATTATTCTAGATTTTTAAAAATGTGCCAAAGATAAGATGTAAGACAACAATATCCTACAGCAATATTTATATTACTGTTACTTATACAAAGAAAGCTGAATGACTAAACTATACTAAAGTTGTTAGATAAAAAAGAACAATGGTATGCCAAACATGAAAAAACTGGCCACATCTGCCAACTAATATCCCTAGCTAATATCAAGTGCTTCAACTATTTACACACCATCCACATTCCTTGACATCAGGTCAACACATTTTTTAGCCTAGTGACTGTCCTCAGTACTTCCTCCCCCATTGTTGTCTCCAGTTCTCTCCCCTTTCTTCCCTCCCCCTTCACCATTAAACATGACAAGATCTTGAAGGTTTACAGTATAGGCTTACATTAGGTCCAGTTCTTTTTTTTTAAACAATACTTGTTTGAAATGTATTTTATTATTATAGCAGATATCAATCCACCTTAAATAAAAAGCTAGGTTAGTGAGATCAATGGAAAACCTAGTCAACAGCTGCATGGTTCATATAGCCCCCACCCACACACACACACACACCTCCACACACACAAGCACAGCCATCACCTGATCAGTATCTCAAATTGACAATGCAACATACAGGGGTTGCAGTGGCAAACAGTATCTCACATTGACAATGCAACATACAGGGGTTGAAGTGGCAAATGTGTTTTCCACATTCTCAGCTAACTACTCTAGCACGGACTTCTTTAGATACTTCACAGGAGTATCCAACATGAAGTGGACAGAGGACTAGCATTACTGTTTGTGTAAAAATAATTCAACCCACCAACCCTTATTACTATCACATACTTAAAATTACGATACACTAGAATGATGAAAATCTCCGGTGGTCTAAAATACTGAAAGAACAGTCACATCGCCATCTATAATACACTGTGGTAAAATAAGAGCAACACTTAAGTAAATGCCACCCCTCCCTTCTCCTCCCCCCCCCCCCCCCCCCCCAATATGGTTTGACAACCAAAACTGCTGACTGGGGTGAAATGTGAAACAGCCGTTTGTTATTCCTGTAGGCTTTATGAATTTAAAAACCAATTCTGGCTTTCAGATTGGTTATCAGATTTAAGTAGGTCAAAGTAAATTTAGCTCATATGTGACATATTGCTCGTAGTGTGATATGGGGGTGGACAAGTCCCAGCAGAGACATTTAAGTAGTGTGAATAACGACCTGGTAGAACCTACACGTGTAGACAAATAGTCTAACGGATGCTTGGTGCTACCCAGAACAATTTAACTGACGTTGAAAGCTGGGGAGGGGAGAGGAAGTCTTGTGCGTGTAACACCGTTTGAGACCTGCTGGTTGCGTCACGTGATCCAGCGAGTAAACAAACCGCCTGTTGCGTGTATGAAGAAAAAAAAGTCAGTGGCGGTGATCTCCCTGTGATTTCACGTCACAGACAGGCCTATAATATTACAACCACGACGACCACTAGAATCGTGAAATAAAGCACCATCGCCGAGGACCACTGAAATAAAAAATTAAGCACCTCAATCAGGGGAAAACCAGTTTTCTGCCAGCGCATTTATTGCCTGCTGTGATTGAGATCGATGTCACACAATAGCCGTTATTAATCGGGTGGTTTAGATTGGTTTCAGAGTAGCGTCAGATGTTTCCATAGACCATTTACTTTTTTTTTCTATCCCCCCCCCCCTCCCCTCACAAAGACAACACGGTTTTTGTTTAACACACACAACTTTTTTTTATTACACGCAGCGCAATACTACGCTCCACACCATCTCGCTTTTTTTTTTTTTATTCGTTTCACTAAAAAGTAATTCAGTACTGGGGTAGACGCGGCGGAGGGATATTTACACACACTGGAATGTGATGAACGAGTCGGTAAACACCGCCTGAATAGTTGGGCCCTATACACAAGGTAGTGTCTGACACTTGGCCAACGACGGAAAACGGACCTGGCAACGAAAAAGTTACTGGCAGCTTCTGCTATTTTTATTTTTATTTTGTGTGTCAATATTTACCAGGCTCCATTAAAAGCATAAAGTGTAATGTGACGCACGTCACAGGTGGGGTGCGCCCCATGTAACAGTTTTTAAGCTTTTACCAAAATTACAGGGAAGAGATCGGGAATGCAAAAAATAATGTGTTGCTAACCCAAGGACACATATGGACAACACTAAATCCGTTCTGGGGAGCACAAACAAGAAGCAGTGACTGCATATTGTAAATGTATACACAAAACACACACATATATATATATATATATATATATATATATATATATATATATATATATATAGTATCCCCCTCCCCTCCGTCACACATCGTCACAAAAAACCAGACCCCCCTAAAATGACGTCACACCTCAGCATACAACCCCCCCCCCCCCCCCCCCCCCAAAAAAATTGCATTTGAATTGTTCTTAAAACATCGAAATTTTCCAAAAACTTGTCTAAACTCTCTCAACATAGAGTATTTTAATCAATTTCTATTACAATTTATTAAAACAGTTTTCTAAAACGCGAAATAATGGCTCAAATTCGTTTTCTAACATTGCTTTTTTATAATGCAAAAGTGTGACGTCCCACCATCAGACCCCTCCCCCTCATCACACACCATCACAAAATTACAGACCCCACTCCCCCTACGAGTGTGACGTCATTTATGGACGACCCCATTTAACAAATTATCATAACTGTTACATACATGATAGTGTGTGGTATCATGCGCATTAGTAGGTTCATATACTTTGAAGAAAAATATTTTATTTAACATCACTAGATTGATGTGTTTATTTGTTTAAGCTTGAAATAAATACTGGAGATTGAGGTCAAGGCCGGCATAAAATAGTTTCCCACACATTGTACCCTGGCCACGCCCACCATTTTTTTATTGCAGGAGAGAGAAAAAAAACAGGCGTCACGAAAAGGTCAACACAAATCACCAAGTCGGTAAAACCGTAGGCTAGAGAACACGGGTGAAAACGTGAGTCATCTAGAGCTAGTCCTAGATCTAGAACCATTTAACACGTCTAGCAGTGTCAACTGATAAAATATTTAAGGTTCAGTGGTGGACACAAAATTTTAGAGATTATCGTCATGGTGAGACAGTGACTGATACTTTGATATTATTATTAACTGGTAACCGGCAAGTTATCAGCTCATTAAATCCACACTAGTTCTAGTCTATAGGACAGAATACGCCCACAATTTATTTAAAAGCGAAGGAAATAGATCTAGAAATCTAGATCTAGATTTCTAGAGTCTATATCTCTAGGTAGATTCTTAGATCTATTTCAAATAAGCCATTAAAAATTAACTTTTAAATTTAATTTAGTTAATTAAATTATTAAGTCCGGGCCCTTACATCAATCACTAAGCCTAGATCTACAACATCAATAAAAAAAAAATTATTATAGTCGTCTGCAGAAGCTAAAATTTAGTTTTAAAATAAAAGAAAGAGAAAATATTAAAATATTTTTTTTAAAACAGCTCAATAAAACCCGCACATTTGACTCTCATACTTTTGGTTAGGCCTAACAGCGCTGACCTAGAATTCAGATTTCTAAAAATTAGGCCTACAACTTTTATTTGTGTGAAACAAATTTATTTCAGATCCAAAACTACAAAAACAACATTGTACTTACTTTAGAAAAACTGAAATGGGCGCACACAATAATTGCACACACTGTTCGCGGAAATGTAAACCAAGCAATGATTTGATGCACTTTTCAAAACGTCGGGAGACTTCTAATCTAGCACAAGGCAACTTGACTTGTTTACAAGTTGGCTAAAACTGCGTGGCTTCGCGCGGCGGGACGTTAGAAAACCGCGTCACAGTGCAGCGCCAGTTACAGACGGACCACTGGCTCGGGGATTTATTTTTATCCCAATTGCCAGATTGTATTTTAAAAGGCCAAACAGATGTGTAAGCTTAGTGACTTAGTGTGTTGTTTTGCTTTTTATCGCACTTAGCGAATAAATACGCGTTGATGTTTTATGGCTATTTAATTGTAAAACTTGTCTTACTGTTAATAGTAAATCACTAAATGGCTGTGTAAATTTACACGCACAAAACCATTTATGAAACGACACACTAGTAGTAGTAGTAGTGACACTTCATAATACTAAAGTTAAATTTATATCAAATACATAGATCAGAAGCTCATAAAAATATCGCAAATCGTATAGATATTTACAGTTTTGGGCTCAAGGTGTCATTATATATGTTTGGGGTGGGGAAAATATAACAATGTCAATCAAAGTGCGTGTTTTTGACAACAAGCTGGCTTCTTTTCGTTGTTTACCAATAATCATTCTACTGTTCTTAAAATAACCAACCTATATCAGACGACAACAAATCTCTCTCAGTAAGCTACGGTCGATATGGACTCAGCACACTTGTGTGAGACAGTCAACCTCTCGCTTTGTGTGAGCTAATTTTCATTGGATAGAAATAATTTAAGTCACGAAGTTTTTAGAATGCTGTTACATTTTGCATAAAATATCTAACAACCCTACCCCAGGTGTGTGAAATGTGCTTTACGTTAGGCTATTTAGTAATTTACTACAATACATCCTTGATTAAAGTCTAGTTGATGGATGGGGAATAAGTTCATTAGTTTAGTAATCAAATAATTAAAGGTAAAAATCTAGTTGGGGGGAAGGGGGGGTCGAAGGCTTCGTGTTGACTTCCAACTGTTCCCATCCCTTTTCTTTTCATGAGGCCTCAATGCGTAAGTTTATTTTTAATGATGGCTGCCGGGGGTGTGTTCGCCGGCTGAAAACTTTCATCCAATGAGAGCACGGCTTACATAGATTAGGTTATATTACTACTTACACATTGATTCAACAGCACATCTTTCGCTACTTAGATCTCACTTAAAAATTGATTTATATCTTCTGCCCTTTGAGATATGACGGGTCCACATTTAAAATTGGATGTGTGAATAAATTAATGCCTCAATTTCTGTTTGATCAGCTTAATGAGCAGTACATCAACCCAATTTTACGAGACAATTTTAAAAATAGAAGGATTTTGTTAAACAATCCTAATTTGCATATTCTGACTCATTAACTGGGTGTGTGAGATCAGAAAGGGGGGGGGGGGGGTTGAAGATTAACTAGGCTTAACGTTAGCGTCATGTCGACAGGTAAAAAGTACACGAACTCGTTGGTCGAACTTTTACACGGGATTCTTTCACATGTCACACTAAAGTACGTGCAGAGAGGGGGTGGAGAGGAGGGGGGGGGGCATTGAAGCAAAAGGATAGAGGATCAGTGCTCGTAAAGTCACTTAATTTAATGTTCTCCAACGTATGACAGGTACCTATCTGGGCTGGGTGAACTCAGTGACATCAAAGATACGAAGCTGAATAAATCTGTTAAGTATTTATGGTCGTGCCCCCCCCCCCCCCCACCACCACTAAACGTGTATGAAGAGGGGATAGCCAATTGCCAACCTACCCGTAATTCTGAAAATCAAATATTTTTATATTCGTCATATTTGTTGCATCACTACGTGCTGTAAAAAAAAATCATTGACAAAATCTAGAAAGTCTCCAGGCAAGTTAAAATAGTGTAAGCCATTGGAGTTAGTCTATCTAGAACGAACACGTGACACATCTTTAGCCAATCGTGACTGTGGTAACGTGACACGGATTTCCTGGTGGTCAGTGTGTTAACCTCTGACCCCCAGGTGTTAGGAATGCAGGCGAACGCTTGTTGTGCCCAGATTAGTGACCCCGTCTACGAAAATTCTTGGTGCAGTGATTCACTTGTAAATTGTCAATTTGGTCCTTGTGGATTAGTCATACCAAAATATGTTTACAGATAGAGTAGTTGATTAAAATATCAGCCTAAACATAACATAACCCTAGAGTAAAACAAGCAAGATTAGGTCTAACCTTAAATAACCTTAGCCCCAACTATAAATATTGTAAGTATCATTTTCTTCGATCAATAATTAAAGCGCAAGTGCAAACTTGTAGCCAAAGATGACCCCCCCCCCCGGGTAGCACCCCACCTAGTGACGCCACTTCTCAGTTGTATTAGAGAAACAGTGCGTCATAGACAATCAAGGTAAATACAAAGAGACAAGAGACACAGCATTAGCACTGCCGACACTGGTAATGTTATAGGTTAGGATTCGTTAAACTCATCGCGGATTGGTCAAGCAGTATGACTCAACTACAATGCATTTTCAGTGATTCACTTTAGTCATGTCAGCTAATCATGGGAAGTACATGACTTAAGTGGCACCTATCATTAACGCTACACCTACAGTTAATTCATATGTCATACATTACAAGTTCAATCTGTAGTCATTAGTCAACGTCATTTAAATTCAACATGGTGTCATGTGTCATACAAGTACAGCATGCGGTCTTAACTCATCTCTCGTACATATTTCAACCAGCATTCCAAGTCATCTCTCATACAAATCTCAATCCACAGTCCAAGTCATCTCTCATACTAATTTCAATCCACAGTCCAAGTCATCTCTCATACTAATTTCAATCCACAGTCCAAGTCATCTCTCATACAAATTTCAGTCAGCAGTCCAAGTCATCTCTCATGCAAATTTCAATCCACAGTCCAAGTCATCTCTCATGCAAATTTCAATCCACAATCCAAGTCATCTCTCATACAGATTTCAATCCACAGTCTAAGTCATCTCATACAAATTTCAATCCACAGTCCATCTCTCATACAAACTTTCAATCCACAGTCCAAGTAATCTGTCACACACGTCCAACATGCAACCATTCAGCACTATGGATTTATTGACAGTCTGTTGACCGTTTGATGGATTACAGGAAACAGACACTTGATCACGTGTTAGACGCTGGTAACAGGATTCTAGAACATTCTGGCCAGGAAAAAACTCCACGTCGGAGTTTTTCTTTTCCCCCCTGTGTGGTGTGTGTGTATGTGTCCGTATGTGTGTGTGTTTAGATTTTGGCACGTTTTGTTTTAGGTATGGCGCTCAACAGGCTAATTATATTTGCTTTCGTTTAATAAGATTTTAAAGGACGGAACACGTGTTACGACCCAAATGATATGCAATGTTTCTTTCAGACTTTTTTCTCCGGGGAGGGGGGGGGGGCTCTGTCTGGAAGAAACACTGATGATATGTTCGTGTAAAAATATGGTTTCAAGCCATATTGTCAGGGGGAAATTCGGGAGGAATTTCGTATTCATTGGGTTTTCGTTTTTTTTTTTTTCTAGAATCAATCATAACAGTACTCAGCTTAGATATAGGCATAGGACAGTAGCGTACGCAGGGGGGGAGCAGGGGGAGCGGCCGCTCCCCCTCTGGCCATTTTCAGCAAAGTGGCGCCTTTTTGGAAACTTTTTAAACTCTAAGTTTTAAACAATGATATTTGTTAAAAAAATTGTTGGTCGGCACATCTATGTAAATCACAAGCTTTCTTTTCATGCAGCAATTAAGCATTATTGTACTAGTTTAGTAGTGTCTAAATTTACAACACGTATTAACAGCTGCATCAGTTTGCTATTCTAAAAATAAACAATAACGATGCATTGCAAAGTTTAAAAAACCTCTACGGTAGTACCACTTGGCAAGAGGGGTGTTAAGTTTAAGGCAACTATATAATGTATTTGCTTACGAATAATTGAATTAGAAAATGTTATACATAAAACTTCACACATAATTACTTTATATATACAGTTTGAATCGTGTGATTAATTTAAAAAAATTACAATGCAGAAACAAATACAACTGATGTGGCACCTCTATTTAAATTTACTTATGAGCAAACTGCGTAGTGGTGGGGAAATTTTGACGTCATCACGATGAAGTAGTAGTATTCTTACAGTTTGTGCGATAGTGATTACGATTACAAATTATATGAAACAGTTACAACCTCCCTCCCCCATGGACCCCTCTGTAAAAAAAATATTGTCATAATACCACTGTTACTTATTTAAATGTATTTCTGTAATATATATTTGTGTAATATATATTTGTGTAATATATATGTATGTTTAGAACAGTCATCTAAAAACTGACGCTATGTTCACTCTGAGTTGGTTATCTCCCCCCCCTCCCCCCTCACCACCACAATTGTGTAGAGCGACATCAATGTCACACCTAGGTATACACCGGGTTGGATAATTGACCTAAAGTGAACGGACAGTGGTGAATGAAGTTGAACCCACCCCCCTCCCAACCCACCCCGAACTGATCTGTTAAGTACATGTAGAAAAACGGGTAATGATGTACCAAAGTACCATGCCGCCAGAAAATTAGCTTTTTAAACGTAAAACTCTGTGAATATATATATATATATATATATATATATATATATATATATATATATATATATATATATATATATATATATATATATATATATATATATATATATATATATATATATATATATATATATATATATATATATATATATATATATAATACACATATATAGCACGTGTTAAAAATTTGGCGCCTTTTTTTGCTCTTTTCGCTCCCCCTACAACGAAAACCTGGATACGCCTCTGGCATAGGATGACTTAGTTGATTAGCTCTTACTTTGGAGGACTACATGTTGCTGAATCAGTGCCGTACCAAAGGTGAAGGACTATTTCAAGGTTGTAGACCTAATACTCTGGGGGACCACTGGGATGGGTACCTTATCCCAAATTATGGGACCACTGCGATGGGTACCTTATCCCAACCGAGGTCACCACTGCGACGGGTACCTTATCCCGACCTAGGTCACCACTGCTGTGGGTACCTTATCCCAAAACGTGGAACCACTGCGATGGGTACCTTATCCCAACCTTGGTCACCACTGTTATGGGTACCTTATCCCAACCTAGATCACCACTG